CAGGATTTAAATAAAAAGGTTGCTCCCTATTTAAGTTCTTTTCCAACATTTTTACCTGTCGAATTCATTGTTTAAAAAATAATATTGCCCACTGCCTGTGGTCCCAAGCGAAAATAAATATTTACTCGAAAAGGGTACCAGGATGACATCCCATCGGGGTAGAAAGTTTACATCAACGACATGGATCTCTAATACATTGATATTTCTCGTCAATTTAAAAGAGAAAAAAGCGAGAGCACAGATGGTTTGGGTGAAAGTTTACAAATGACGAGAATTCGGACGCTGAAGGAACATCCTCATAAATATTCAGGAGATGATCGCGGATGTTATCCTCTTCCTCTAATCGTCCAACAAGAATTCATTTGTATCTGAAGTATTTTCGAGGTCTGTGGATTTTAACTCTTGATACTTTTCTTATTTTTTCTTTCCCACGTCACTCGTGTTCGAGTGATAAATGGGTTTTTGGCAGGTAGCTGAGAAATGTGATTAATAAATATGAATTCAAATTCTCCCGCGTAAATGTTTACACGCAAGTGGTGGGAGGTCACAGACCTATAAATATAGCCCCCCTCCCACACACATTTGTCATTCTTTTTCTGGATATCCCCATTTTTTTTAGGAAAGTTTTATTTGACCAGGAGTGTATCTGTTTTGCTAAGCATATTCTTAGTTATCTATTTGTAAATGAGTCGATTAACTAAGTGAAAGTGGAATGGGAAGAAGGAAATATCGGCAGGATAATATACTAGATTTGGTAAAAATGGAACTACTATGTAGGCGCTAGGTGATGTAACAGGTCAGATGTATAAGAGTACTATTGTTTATTTTCAATGAAACTAAAATAGAAATGAAAGTAGTAAAATTGATTAATTAATTATATAAAATGTTTATTTAAAAAAAGTAAAATAATACAAATGTTATCGATAATTATTAGCTACCACCTACCATTAACACTGGTTACATCAGCTACTAACTTATCTTGTCAATGTATCAATTATGATAAGTGCTATTGCTTCATAAATGAATAATAAAAAAAATTAAGTTAATAATAAACTGTTCCATAATACATACCATTCAATTAAATTACAAAAATAAATCATTATGATGAGTATATCGCTCACCATTAAAGAGCTGCTACCTGATGTATTATTAAAACACTGTCAGAACGCTTTTACAGTTGTTAAGTGTTTTTATTCATCTACATCTGGTCGGCCCATTTACGTCAATGACGCGTCGTGACATCATAATCGTTAGAAAGCGATGACGTACGGTCCAAATTACGAGGTTCTTGTCCTTTTACCGTCGATGCTTGATTTTGCAACGAACCAACGGTTCTTTGCTCACCTTCACTTTCATCCACCGTAGATCTTGTTTTTCTTACAACGCGTGTCTTGTCCTTTCTTGATCGTGCCGCGAACATCTTTTTGCATGCCTCGAATCGTTCATCCTCCGGATCATTTATTTCTCAGAGTTCCTTGTCCATCTTGGAGAAAATTCTTCCAGTATGACTTTCTCTGTCGAAAAATACTTCCTTACGTTCGTACATTAACCTTCGAACGATGATGGCTGGGTCAGTGATGACCCAGACCTACAGAACGTGTACAACGGTGTGTGTGTCAAATGTTATATGACGAGTTAACTCGTTATACCCAGTTAAAGGGTTAAAAAGGTATGGATTTTAAATTTATGTGAACCGTCTTCAAAATTTCTTGACTAATTAACTCGTCATTCCTGGTTGAAAGGTTAAAGCAGCACATTTCTGTCGCCAGTTCATAGAGGAAAATTGATTTCTTTTAAATTAAATTCGAACCGCTTCTTCCGACAACTTTTACGCCAAAGGGCACCCGGTTGTATTATACAGTCACGTAAGAAGAGCACCTTTCACCTTCTTCAGTACAGGTACAGACCCCTTTTACACCGAATATCCACGGTTACGAAGGAACGTCGATAATGCACAGCCGTCAGCCAGCGTGGGCGATATATTGATGCAGGAAATACCTATGTATAGTCCGTAGAAGAAATACAGCACACAATTACTAGAAACGTTAAATATACGTCATAAATAAATGATCACTAATTGCATTCATTTGCAATAATAAATATAATTAATAATTGTTATAGTGTCTTGCCCCTCTGAAAATCCAAGTGACGATTCAATAAAAAAAATTCGATTATATTTGTTATATTTTTAACAAAGGAAACATATGCATGAGTTGATGTCTTAAAGCACGGGATGTGGAAAGAGCTTTTGTAGACCAGGAAGTGATTATGTCTGAAAATCAGTGCGGAGGCGTCCTAGACTACGTCAATTACCTAATTAGCATGTTGATGAGGACATCAAGAAGAATGTGACTCTGTGCATCGCGTTACAGCGTCTTAAAAAAATCTGTACAATAATATTCAGAATTCCTGAAACCTTTCTTTGAAAATTTTTGTACTTTGCAAACCATACTTTGGGTTGTATATTCAAGTTTGAATACCTCATCAACGTATAATTAATTTCATGAAATTTATAATATAAGCGTAACTCGACATTGTAAGAATTAATTTCGAGATATAATACGAAGTTCATTGATTATAATTATTAGATAATAATTTGATCAAGGATAATCGCAACTCCGGTGAAACAAATCCCGCAAACGAAGTGGAGAGCCTTTCGAGAGATGAGCAAGATTGTGCAATCTTCCAGCTGGATGTAGTAATGCCTTAGTGACGCTACTGTAACGGTAATATCAGGTAATGGTTGTAACTGTTGCGATAATCGAGCCTAGGTTTCTTCTCGTTTCTTCTTCGTATTTGATACTTGTCGCGTTCGCTCCTCTTTCACCTTGTGCCATTTTCTCAACACCATTTTGCGGTTCCATATACGCCAGATAAACTTAATAAAAATTATCCTGTTACTATAATTGTCACATCATCATTACGTTTTGTAAAAATAAATGTGTAAATAATTAATGGAAAATAGTGGTTGCCATAATGAATTGGTTAGGTATTGTAAATCGATTGGAATGATAAATTATTCAGCACGAGGATTACCAAACACAGTAACAGAAACATTTGGTGACCCCGGTAACAATTGAACTTCCCACGTTGCAAATTATCGAGCGAATAAAACAATTAGTAGCCGCGGATTTTTAACCAGGATCAACAATGGGACAATTAAATCTTGAGAAACGATTCCGTGAATCGGATAGGGCCTCCCAAGTTTTAAAGGTCTGGGCTTGAAATCGATAATTGCTATCATTTTGTTTAATTATTCGTCGAACGATTGGATTCGATAGATAAGTTAGCTTTGAAAAAGAATATGTTGCAGTTAGCCTTAAAATTTATATTATTATTTGTTCGCAAATGAAATTTAAAAAAAAGTATCATTTTGGTACCATTGGTAGATCATACAAGTATATTAATGAAATTTCAAAGTGAAGTTGAATAAATATCTGATTCTTGATTGGTGGATATGCATTATATGGTTTGTTGACGAATTTCGAAATACCGATACGACTGTCAGGATCTGTTTGATATCCTGAAGATGAGCATCGACATCGAACAGATCTAAATGTCACGGGATTCACACAGACGTTACGCGCTGAAAAGATTATATCACTGCCTAGTCGGACGATGCTACCGCGTAAATGGACGAATAAAAAACAGGCGAAACTATGCGCACGGTTGGTAATCGCGTTCGATTTAACATTCTTAACGATTGGATTTCGAATGGGAGGTAAATTACCTGTGGAAATCGAGTTATGAAAGATAATAATGATGCTTTAACGAGAAACGATTTGTAGCTTAGCCTTCTTATATAAAATCCTTAGTTGAACTTTACTTTGGGGTGTACAAAATTATTGACTTTCTTTTATATACTCTAATAGCATCCAATGAGAAAGATTCAAAAGTACAAGTTTTAACTCTAGAAGTTACGTCTATATTAAAATGAACGTTTTCAGCGTATTTTTGAGGTTAATTTGACGCCATATTGACCTCTATCTATTATCAAAATGGTGTCCAAAAACTAACCTAACCTAACCTTACCTAACTCGTGCAAAGCTACTGGCTATTCCATCAACATGGCGCCAAACTAACCTCAAAAATTCGTTAAAGCTCTCAGCTTTTCATACAATGGATTCTTAAAATTAAAACTTGTATTCTCCTCCACGTCAGGAAGTTCAGAGATTTAGGTCCTTTCTCTACTTTTGACCCATATTTGACCACATTTGATATCCGTATATTATGAAACATCCTGTTCACACCTATGAATGGGTGCACCAATGCAAAAGGCCTCGATAACGAATATTAAATTCGCAAGATCGACAGGATCTTGAGACGATTGTGATTGGATGGCCCAGTGTATATACCGGATGACCTCGGCCTACAAATGGCCACACTCGATCGATACTGTTCCCCTGGACATTCTATTTTATCGATAATCATTTTTCTGTCACCCGATTGAAATCAATGCTCTTGACGGAGATCCGGTGACAAGTTGCTGTAGGTGCGTCGAACGACTGTTTACTTTCTGTTTCACTGCAGATCCGGCTTCCATTTTTATTTAAAAAAATCTTCTAAAAATTCTTTTTTGGTTCATAGTATTATTTCTCGACCAGGTAAATTTTCTAAAAAAATTTTATTTTGCAACTAATCATAATTAAAAATCTACGGTACATGTAAAGTCATATTTCCGTAGGTGTTCGCCTTTTCTTATTAAAGGAAATTTATTTTAAAACTGTTGAGAAATTTACAGAATATTCTGGTACAGCAATCTCGTTGCATGTCGATAGTTGATAATTATAACTGTAACCGGTGCAACAGGGTCTGGCCGAGTAAAAGTGTCTCGTAACTGCATAAATTAGACAAGTAAATTATCCTTGCAATGGACACACTTCCCTTTCGTTCATTTTCTACTAACGGGAAAATTGGATTCCTGATACCACTGACACTTTTACTTCCACGAAATGTACCATTACTGCGTGATGAGTTAGGGTTTCTTTTATATGTTACAGTTTTTTTGTCGATCCTCAACCTCCAGCATGGCTTCGTGTTATGCAGCGCGGGGGAACCTGGCGTGAGTATTATTATTAATAATCGAATTTTTATTGAAGGCATCTCTAAATATACAACAAATCATTTTACAAGTATCTGGACTTCGACAATCTACCGGAAACGAACTTCTCGTGTCAGGGGAAGGTGATTGGAGGATATTACGCAGACGTTGAAGCCGGATGTCAAATGTTCCATGTTTGTACCATTGGACAAAAAGGTAATTCAGCAATATTGTTACAAACAGAATTACAAACAAAATTTTTAATAATTTCACAAACTATTTCTGTTTTTCGATTTGTCTTGTAAATAAAGAACAAATTACCGTTTAGTTTTGTCACGTGCTTCTAATCGCTCCATGTTAGTCAGCAAAAGATCGAACTCTTGTGATATCGTAACAATTAGAAGCGATAATTAAACCGGTGTCGGATGTAACGAGCATCTTGACTCGACAAATCGAGCGATCGAACGATCCAGAGGTCTGCCCGGGGGCCTGGCGAGCGGCTGATCGAAGTTTTGTAATCGATCGAGAGATCGCTCGAGGAAGAGAATGTCACGGTCGTCGAGGAACGTTTACTGACCTAAGTCGAGAACGTCTGACTTCGACTCCTCGGGAGAGATCGATCGACATGCAATCCGAGACCTGCTTTTGTTCTTTTCTTAACCTTTAGCCCTTTCGTTTGTAAAAGAAGAAATAGAAAAGCGAATGTTTATTTAATGTTAATTATGAGAATTATTAAACTTGAACTTAGCTATTAATGAGACTCTCGTTTCGAGAACCATGACGAAGAAGAGCATCCCCGAATAATGACCCTGTCCTTCACCACGAGACTTGGTTTCAGACGAGATTATGGACATAAAGTTCCTTTGTCTGAATGGAACCGTCTTCGATCAGGAAACCAGGGTGTGCGAGAGGGTGGACGAAGTCGATTGCAGCAAGAGCGAACGATTCTACAACTTGAATTTGGAACTTTACGGAAACAATGCTGTGACACTCAGGTAAATCGATAAATTCGCGAGAATTATATTTGAACGCTGTCCTTCCTATCCGTCCTTCAAAGGTTACACTTCTGTTCGTAATGCAAACCTGATTCGATAATGTTGCTACAAACTTTCACTTAATATTATGGAAACGCATGCAATCGAAGTGATCGATCAAAAACCGGCGACACGCGCAATCACTACCGTCGTCCACGCCTCTCTCGATTCTGTATCAGTCACGAAACTAGAAAGAAACTTGGTCCTTACGAAACGCCAAGTGAACGTTCTGACAGAAGAAAATAAAAATTTTAGCAACAGGTGAACCGGCTACAACGGTTATTTTCACTTGTACATGACAGTTTCAATCCAGGAAACTCTCAAATTAGGCTATCTTGGCCAATTAAATAAATACTTCATTTTTGAGAACTTATTTCTAAGTAATAGAAATATTTCTTTCGATCAAAATTCGTGGTTGGGTCACACATATTGGGATACACATCCATTTGAGAATAAAATTCCTGCCTGAAGATGTCCAGAACCAATCCCATATATTCAAACAACGTCAAACATCGTTAAACATCATCAAACATCGTCAAACAGACTCAAATCTTATAGTTTGCATGAGAACAGCGAAGACGACGTCGACCCCTCGGACCATCTGGACGACCGTCAACGCACCACCTCGGCACGACCCACCACGACTACGACCACTTCCACAACCTCAAAACCCAACAAACCATCCACAACACCTTCCTCCAATTCATATTCGCATCCTACTGGCTATCCCCAACACTTCCAGCCTCAACCTCCATTCCCTCAGGTGCATACCAGTCAGTCCAAGTCCCTGTATGACGACAAGAACGGTGGATACCATCATCAGTACATCTTCCACAACGGCGAGAGAAATAATAATCAACAGGCGACTTCCTATCAGTTGTTCAGCAACCAAGGTGTCAGTTCCACGACAGTCCAAACTCCTCAGGTGCATCAGATTAGGTTCAGTTCGACGCCAAGTCCGCAGATCATCCGCAACGAGCCCTCGACCGTGGCGCCACTGTTCCATACGCCCTCCTCCACAATCCAGACGCTTCTAAGTAGCAATGGAAACAGTCCATCGTTGATAAATCCCATCTTCCATAGTCATGGGATTGTTAGTACAACGGAGCAGTTTTCTATACACAGTAATAACCCGAGGGACACGTCGGAATACCGTGATAATGGTGAACAGAGCATCAGGCCGCTGGAGGCTGTACAGTCGACCAACAAAGGAAAGGTAATTGGGGATTTGGGGACAGCGGACTATTTTATATTAATTAGTAACGAAACAGTTAGGTTTATGGTCTGCTTCATATGTAGCTAACTGCTCCATTATGCCCAGGTTTCGAAGCTGACAATATCCCCAGTGCCCACTCCATCGGAGCCATCTCGATCAGGTCAAACGAAGAGCAGCCAGAGTTCACAGCAACAGAGGATCTCAAGCAGCTTCCTACCAACCCCAACCACCGAAGAAACGACCGCTAGATCCTTCTACCCAACTCCGAGGTCCTCGACGAAGTCATCTGAGTCCTCACAGTCCAGCAGCGAGCAAGTCACCCAGCATATTCACGTTCTGCCACCTGTGCAGATTCCCCAACTGAAACCCCATCAGATCACTATCAATCTACCCCCACCAGACATCCAAAGAATCGTGCAGAACCCTTCATCCCTGCTCCCATCTCAGTCCCGAGTGATAGTGACGGCCAAAGCTAGCGTCAGCGACGAGTCAGGCAGACCTCTGAACACGACCCAACTGGTCACTTTGCCTCTTCCAACGATTCCTGCTAGCTATGATGATTACAAAGAAGGAGACGAGTCCTTTGATCCTTTCTACAGGGATGTGCCAAAAATCAGAAACAGCAGACGAGCCTATGGAGGGGTCAGACGAGGCAGGATAGTTAAAAGATCGAGAAGGTCAGTTGGGCAAACCAAGAATTCCATGGTGTCCTTCGTTTATGGGGGCGAAACGAACAGGCGGCATGACATCCAGACAGTAAATGCAGCTGAGAAAGAAAGGATCAAGGACAGAGTAACTGTTGAGGATGATAATATGGACTTTAAGTCTATCAAGGAGAGTCTGATGAGGTTTAGGGATATTCTGTTTGGCGAAGAGTTCACGGATGAAACTCTCCGTAGCATTTTCGAAGACAGTCCTTCGCAGAATAAGAGTTCTAATACAAAAGCGAAGGGTAAGAAGAAGGAGTCTTTAGAAGACTTGGAGCCTAGGGCTTCGAAGAACTTCAAAGCCAGGGAATATGAGGATGATACTGATGAGGGATCAGAGAACAAGAAAAATAAGGCTAAAAGTGCTTCGAAGATAGATACCAAAATATCTGATGCTGAAGAATACATAGATATTGAGGATAATGAAGAAAGTAAGTCAGATTCAAAGAATGGTAACATAGAGGACCCAGAAAATGAAAAGGAAGAACAGTCAGAAGTTTCTTATGATTACAATGATGAGACAGATGAGAAGGTCGAGAGTACGACAACTGAAGAACCAGAACTCGATATCATTATACTTGACCCAAATGAATACCTTAGGCTAAAATCCTCAGAACAACAGAGTACTATGAACCCTGTTGAAGAAGAATTATCAACTACAATTGTCCCTGTTCTTTCTACAAGTGTACAGTCCATTGAGTTAAAGAAGGATAGTGATTTTCTTAAAGACCCCAAGAAGCCTAAAGACCAGGATAGTACACCTGAAATAAACAAACAGCCCAAAGTGAATGAAGATGATGAAGAAAAGAAACCAGAACAAGAGGTCAAAAAAGAAAAGCCCAAAAGAAAAAGTTCCAGAATCAGATCTGGAGGAAAGGTATCTTCACGAAAAAAAGAAACGAAAAGTGAGAGCGACAAACCTGTTGAATCTTCGGATGATAAGATCAGGAATCAGAAGGTAGAAACTACTACCTCAGCTGCAGACTCTGAATCAGAACAGATTGATAAGCACATTTTCGATGAACCGGAGTCTCAGACTTCGAAAGAAATCGATACCAGAGCTGTAGGTAACCATAACACTCACACGAAGAGTCTTCAGGGTGGCAAGGACCAGGGTACTGGGAAGGAAAATCGAAAGGGTGATATCAACGAGTACGAGACTTTAGAGAAGCAGCCAAATAAATTAGAAAAGGATCAAGAAAAAGTTGACAAACACAAAAAGGAGGTTGAAGATGAGGAAGAGTCAACGATTTCAACGTTGGATGAAGACAAACCTGAAGAAGATGAGGAGAAGGTTGAAGAATCAAAACCAAATGACGAGTCTGAGACAACAACCGAAGAAAATACTTCTCTGGAGAAGACTGATTACAAAGAAGAATCTTCAATCGAACATGAATCTGTGGAAGAAGAACTCACCACAATCTTCAGCAGCGAAGATGTTGAAGAAGGTAGTGACGAAATGGTCAAAAGTTCTCATCATGAGAAGAGTAAAAAGTTTAAAGATTCTTCACGAGAAGTTTCTTTACGTAAAAAGGAAAAGAAAAGAAAGAACGAAGAGGAAGAAGAAGCAGAGATAGAGTCTCAAGAGTATTCGACGGTGAAGAGTGAGGAAATCAATTCTAAGGAAACGTCCATGGAGTATCACGACTCTACAGAGGCGTCTTTCGAGAGCACCCACGAGATAAATGCTGACGAAGAATATCCCGAAAGCTATGAAGATTCAACACCTCTCTCTGAACTCAGTTCTGAAGAAATTCCAAGCTCCAGAGAAGAAGTAGCTGAGGAACCTGAGGAAGAGGAATGGGCAAGCGATCAGGAAGTAAGTACCGAAGGAGTGTTGAAGTTTACTGATGAATTACCTAAAGAAAAGAAAGAAGACACGTCAGAAGGCAAGAAATCTTCAGAGTCTGTTGACAATGTTGGCCATGACTACGTAGACGACAATTACGAACCTGAAAACTACAAGGAACGAGATTCTTCAGATTCGAATAGCTTAAGTAATGAAAAAATGAACAAGGAGACTATGTCTGATGAGAAGTCAGAGAGTAAAACTGGAAAACCTGAAGAGGACAAAGAAGAAGAAGTTAAGGATGGGCTCCAGAAGGATCAGGCTTCAGAAATTGAAGATCCAAAAGAATCCAGCACTGAGGAGGCAGATTTGCAGACAACAACATCAACGACCACTACCACGACTAGCACCACCACCACCACAACAACTACAACTGTTCGTCCAACACCTCCAAAATTATTTAAACCAATCTCTGCAAGGAAGAGTTACAACTACATCCCTCCAACGACCACTCCGAACCCAGTGATCATCAAACCAAGGTTAAGTTTATTGAACCCAAAGCCAGCAAAGCCACCCAAGTCCTACAACGACCTGGCACCTAAGCCAGTAATTAGAAAATTCCCTCTGCTAACGCGTAAATCAGCCACCACCATGTCGACTACGACGATAAGAGGGGAGGACTCGACAGAGATTCCAGAGATGACGTCGACGGAAGTGTCATCCACGAGCACAGAGGTGAGCAAGAGCGAAGAAAACGTGTTGGAGAGCAAATTGGACCCTGTAAGTCAACCTGTGAGTGAACCTCCTAAGGACCATGCTCCCCTGAAGAATAAGAATGATCAAGACTCCAGTCCCAGTGAACAGAAGTCTCCTACGAACCTAAAGAAAGAGGAGGATGAAGACTTCACACCTTATCCTGTAGCTAGATTGTCAACGATGGCCACTCTGCTCGAGGAAATCCTGAAGGATACAGAATCCACCACCATAGAGGCTGAAAACACGACCACTGCAAAGAGCTTCACTTTGATAGATGTTGAAATCACCAGCACCACAGCTGCGCCAGTTTCTTCAACATCAACTGAAGCTGATCACGAGACTACCACTGCTAAATCACTGACAAAGGATGAGGCTTCCATAGCTCCCTCCACTAAATCGACCTACCAAGAAGTGACAGAGGCATCCCCGCTCCCTGAGACATCCACCATGCCAGAGACCACTTCTACACCGTCCGAAGAGGTAGAATCGACCACCATGAGGCTGCTGACTCGCAAAATGGTGGGCCTCAGGCGAAACCAGGGGGGCTTCAACTGTCTGGAGAAGGAGATGTACCGTTTCTATGGGGACAACAGGGACTGTAGACTGTTTCATTATTGTTCTCCTGGATTCACCTCGAGGCAGGTCCTGGACTTCCGGTTCGTGTGCGAGGAGGGCACTGCCTTCGATGAGGAGACACAGAGCTGTCGTCACAATGTTAGAAATAAACGGTGTCCCGATAGACAATGGTAATTAGGAGTCTTCTAGGTCAGGCATGCATACGAAATTAACTGCGCGGACGCCCGCGTGCGTTGGGCTTGGTGCAGACTCTCAGAACCATGGACTTAGGAATAAGAGGGGACGTGACATATATGGGCAACTTGGAGGATGGAAGTGAAGTTACAATAGGGAGGGGACCATGGACGTAAACTACACCTATTGTATCCAGACTGAATATCCCCTTTTATTCGTAGGTCCATGGGGAAAACATTGTAACGCTGAAGGATGGGGTGCTGTCTCCCCACAAATATGCCTGCCCAGCCTGCCGGTGACTATGCCCTGCGCCCTGCGCCCTGTGTCCTGCGACCGTTTCATTACTCGCTGTACATGCATACTCTAGGTCCTCGTGTGTCTGGCGGCGTTGATTTTGATAATTCGTGAATCCCAGGACCACGTAGTGTATATTTATGTATATTGTTAGGATCCGTGAAAGAGGGCCGTTCCTTTCCTCAGCATTGCCATAAACCTTGTACATGAAGATGGATTCACACTTATTAAAATTAATGCGAAGTGCTGACTCGAGCGTGTAGGTCACGAGGAAACAAGAATCTTCTGTCTGAGCCGGAATCTTTCTCGTAGCTGTGGTCTTTTCTTTCTGGTGGAAGACAATGCTTGTTATTCTTGATTGCTGAAGACTCGTCAACTGTCTTTTAGGTTAGGTTTGCTGTAGTAAAAAATAACTGCACTGTCGTTAGCCAACATTGGAAGGAAACGATTTTATACAATACCCAGCTAAGTTTTGTGAAAGAAAACTAATAGTCAGGCCTCTTATTGTTGTTAGTATAAAAGAGCGAAAATTATGCCGGTTCCTACGTTGCATCGATGAACTTTTTCAGAGAAGATCACTCTTTCATAGTGATTTCAGCAATATATCTTGCGCATTGCTCAACGTACGTTGCGTACGAAACACAAAATCTTTGATTTTTGTTGGCTCGATGCAACTGTGCAGTCGTATAGTCGGTGGAAGAAATATAGTGCAATTATAAGTAGATGAACAATGGAATAATTTTTCATGATACAACTTTTGGTCGGTAATAATTTTTTTCCACTAGTAAGTATATCGTTTCCACCGACTATACGTGTAGATTTTGAGAATGTACAGTAACGTTAAAAAGCAGAGATTCGGGAAATACTCAATCGTCGTTCGTCCCAACAACGACGGTCTTCTTAACACTTTAGCAGCCGTATTTCATGTAACTCTTGTAATTTTACACTCGTTTCTTAATTCCAATCGAAATGTATTGTGAAAAAATTATACTCGAGTTTCTGTAGAGTGATCACAATGGTCGTCAAAGTGTTAATCACCAGGTCGATCGATCATTACAATATTATCTTGTTACATCGAATGAAAAATTTACATAGTCATTTTCATCAATTTTTGAGCTTCAAATTGATGTAACTACTATTTCGTGATACCTTTATCATTTTCTTCAATTGATATGCAACAATCTAATAACAATGATCGATGAATGCCTTTCGTCCCTTCCTATCAATAGATGTCTAATTTTAGCGAAACAATTGATCCCTTAGGTCGAAATTCCTATCGATAGTGGTAAATGTATAAATAGATTACCTACATGTACGCACACACGTTATATATTTTTACATGTGAATTTATCCCGTAGATAATGTGATAAGGTAATCTGTAGGACGTTAAAATATTCTCTGAGGAAGCAACTGCGTGTAAATGATTTCTGTACATACAAATGTGTCCCTTTGTAGCGACGCGTTACACGCATGTTATCATTAAGGATCTATACTGTGTTAATAATAATTGTATATTATGTGCAATTCTTGGTAGTCGTTAACCCGTTCTAGTTATTTATTTCACACTTTTGCGTTGAATCTGGTTTTCGCCCTAGTATCGTGAGATACTTTTCTTCGTAACATAGCAGGCAAGAAATACTTTTATGAACGAATAAATTTTGTTCATTGTAAATATTGAAAGTAAGTCTTGTTAATACGATTTGTAAATGAATAGTATAATTTACACTTTTTTTTTAAGGTAATACTCGTACTCTTAGTAATATTTAGAAATGATGAGGCATATTATCATTGCCTTAAATAATAAAATAGGTCAGAAGTTATTTCGTCCACTATTTTCATAATTCTCTGCTGAAATCTGGAAGAAAGTACATTTAACTTTCGATTATTATACGAAGAGATTAATAGCATACGGAAAAATAAACAAAAAGCTGTCATTCATTCATAAAACGTTTATTTATCAATGGCTTGAGTACTGAACAAAAAACTGCACGTGTGTACGCTATTAGTAGCGTGTGTAGTTTTTGATTGGTCGAGAGTAACGTTTGTAGCCTTCGATTGGTCGAATTTGATTGATTAATTGGCTCCGTCCAATCGTTTCCACAGCGTGAAGACCACGTTCCAGTCTATCAATTGTTTTTTCACGAATTTTAAAAGTACGGTGAGAAACAACTTAATTATTAATAAATTGATTGCACAAATATGGTGAGGGGAATTTCTAAGACTGTTTTACAGTATTTTTCAAATGCAATTACTTCGCCAGGCCACCTAACCTATACGAAAGTGAAGTCGCGATATATTACGATAATGACTGAGAACATAAAAATCGGTACACATGATGGCTGTTTTCATTGTGACGAAGCACTCGCTTGTTTTATGCTAAAAACACTGCCCCAATACAAAGATGCAATAATTATAAGGTAATTATATGATAATGAAGATATTATTTTATAACCTATAAACACCATAAGTGTACACTGCAATTTAGATTTCGTTTAGTTAAGGAGGAGTGTAGAAAAAGGAATGTCCCAACACGTAACATATTTGTCCATATTCTTGACCTACGCAGACAGGAGGCTCTCCCAATCTCTCCCGGTCTCTCCCAGGCTTCCTGTGGCTCTCCCTGGTCTGACATAGCTCTCCCTAATTCTCCTGCTTCCCCTGACTCTCCCTCAACATTTCCTGGGTGTTTTTAAGATCTAAAATGTATTTTAAAGCCTACGATGCTCCAAAATGTACCTAATGATGACATGATTATACATCAATTTTGACTTCATAGTTTAAATTACTTCCTTTAAACTGTGCTTGCCCAATTTTTGAAGTGTACATGGCAGTTGAATGTTAAATGTATTTGTAGATCACGTGATAAAGGTATTTTAGATACCTGTGATATTGTTGTTGATGTTGGCGGTGAATACAATCCTTCAAAGCACCGTTATGATCATCATATGAGGTATGTTCAAAAGATTAATTTATATATGAGATAGATTTGTATCTGTTTAATTTGTAAATTAGAGACTTCAAAGAGTCAGTAAGTACTGTGATAAAGAAGCCAGGATATGATTGGGATATAAAACTGAGCAGTGCAGGTTTAATTTATTGTCACTTTGGGTATGAAATCATTAAGCATTTATTCCCTCAACTAAGTGACAATGTTGTGGAAATAATTTTTAAAAGGATTTATGACAAATTGATTAAAGAAATTGATGGCATAGATAATGGAATTCCTATGTACAAGGAGGAACCACTGTAAGTGATCCATTACAATGTGTTACGTTTTTGTAATATTATTCAACTGTAGATTTACTTGTCCTTTTAGCTATCGTATTGTGACCGATTTATCTTCGCGTGTTGATTTTTTAAATGTCAAATGGAATGATAAAGATACTAATGTTGATGCACAATTTGTAAAAGCAATGGAATTAACTGGCCAAGACTTCTTACAGCATATAAATTATGCAGTAAATGTTTGGTTGCCAGCTAAAGCAATCGTGCAGGAGGCTATTGCAAAACGCTTTGAGGTAAGTATAGTAAAAACTTGTTATGAATGCTAATTTGCAATTAATACTATTATTGGTACCAAAACATTTGCTCGGTGTCTATCTTCTTGGTGATATTTACATTAATTTGAATATAATGGCATACTTCCTGAATAAAACATTACAATACATTGATGTTAGTTACATGAATGTTTATGTAATACAACATTATATATTACGTATATAATAAACTGCATTTGATTATTGTAAATGGGTATACATAATTACAAGTACTTGCAGGTCGATCCTAGTGGAGAAATCATAGTACTGTCACAATGCGTACCATGGGCCGAGCATATCTTTGAAATAGAAAAAGAAATGAATGTACAACCTCCGTTAAAGTATTTAATTTTTAAAGATAATAATTACAGAATAAGATGCGTTCCAGTAAAGCCCGGCAGTTTTGTAACTAGGTATTTATCCAGAAGACAATCTAGCGATCTTTCAAATTATTAATACACCATATGTTTTTCTAGATTGTTCCTGCCAGAAGCTTGGGCGGGTTTGAGGGGTGAAGAACTTGAACGTGCCTGTGGAATTCCAGGTGCAGAATTCGTGCATAGCGTACGATTTATTGGTGGACATAGCACTTTAGAAGGTGCAGTGACGATGGCTCGCAAATCACTTGAGCTAGGAAAAAAAATATGATGAATAGCCTAGTTTCAATTATTTTCTAGTATTCAATTTTATAAATGAATCGCTATTGTGATTTAGAACTGGTACATAAATTATGGCAACACGGTGTACATATTATGCAATAAAATATTTTCCTATGTAAAAAATAAAAATAAATGTTCAATGCACTTGTTATGATAGAAAATAATAACTATGGAAAAATAGAAAAAATTTTTATTGTAAAATTCATTTACAGTAAATGTATAAAAGATATACAATTTTAAAAAAATGATTTTCGAATAATACTAAATATACTAACAACAAATAATCAAAATTTTCCTGCATTTTTCGCGGCCTCTTGAGCATGTGCGGCCAAATGTGCTGCTTTGGCTTTTGCAACTTCTGGTGTGTCCACCACCCTACCATCAGGACCAAGGGGTGCACCATACCCAAATCCATAAGCATAAGGTACTGATGTATAAGCGAGAGCGCCATATGGATGCAATCCTAATTTTTTAGCAGTCTCCTGCAATATTATAGAAAATTTAATTATTACCAAATTGTATATTTTTTATAAAAGAAAACATCCTCCTTAAGATTCAAGACTTAGGATGTTCAAGAACCCCCCATTTATAGACTATTCGAAACTCGTCCCTCTCAATTACCAAGGCGTGAGCAGTAAGATGAGCAGCCTTCGCTTCCGCAACCTCTGGTGTATCAACGACCCGACCATCGGCGCCTATGGGTGCGCCAGACGTAATTGCATGTGGATAAACACGGAACAGGGCTGGCACATGTACGTAACCTAATGTGTTCCTAGCTGCTTCGTAAGCCTGTGTCGCAAGGTGAGCTGCTTTCGCTTGTGCCACCTCAGGAGTGTCCAAAACTCGCCCATCATAGGCTAAAGGATAACCTAGGTGACTGTAGGCCACTAAGTAGCCTGGATCTGCCAGCGCTAGGGCGCAGAATGCTGTGAGAATGATCTGCAATTTGGATAGTCAATTGATTAGTAACAATTAACATTGCTCACTCAGGCAAATTGGAAAGTACAAAGTGTTCTAATGATATAGAAACAGAAATCCCAAAGTCTAACTCCATTAGTGCTCAGCATGATAGGACTAGAATGAAGTCTTCAACATCCCTCGTTTTATTTGAGTAATTGAACCCTGAAGGGAGATACTTACTAGAGTTTTCATGATTAATGTGCAATGAGCGCTGCTGGATGATTAACCAGTACTCGCCCTAAGGTACCTGTCTTCTCGTTATGTACCTACTCGAAGCAAGGCTTCTCCTTTTATATATGGGTATCTGGTAGGGAGTCGTCGACCCGTAGGAGGGGACCACACCCTGCAGCAAGTGCTACACGTAAAGTGGTGACATTGACATTATGCCTGTTGTTTCTCATCATTGAGTCTCGTCTCTCAAAGGATCCGCCGTCCGACGAGGTCAGGTGCACCGGCGATGGGACCAATCAGGCACAACGACGCTCTCCCGTTGCATGGGATGCAAAAAGAGCCCGGTGGACAACTGTTTTCGTTTGATTCGCCTTGAAATCTTCTTGTCAAAATGAAAAGCAGTTTCCTTTGAAAGTAAGTAGGAATGTTTCTTCGTGGAATTAAAACAGAATGAGGAATTTTAATGATGGTGGAGGAAGAGAAGGTATACGAAAAGGAAATTGAATGTATTTTATTAAGTAGAGCACTTTTGTGTGTTATTTTTACAAAAAAAAAATTTAAATTGCAAAATAGCATCGTTGAAATTGAAATTGATAATAATTTCCAAGTTGCATTCGCACTATGCAACCTACAAATTTGCAAAATTACATATTCAAATTATCCTGGTGAAATGAACGTAACCACTCGTTATATTTATTATAACATCAACATCCACGCTTAATGAATCTCATATTATCTGTAATTACAACGTTCAGGTAAAGTAATTTCTCAATTATTCGAAGAGTAGGAGAACGAATTGACCTCGAGTGAATTTCACATTGAATCGTGGAAAGTAAAACACAGGCTTAAGTGCAATTAAAAAATGAAGAACGTTGGTACATCGATCCGAGCGAAGGCCGTGTCCTCGGAATAATCAATCGTTTGCTGATTGACTGAAACGAATTCACTTTTTACTCTGATTGGAGAAGAAAGAAGAGGCGAGACGAAGGCAAATCTACATTTTTCTTCGGTTCTTTTTGTGGTGAGGCAGTACGGTTCATAGGGAAATATGCTGAAGTATCTTCTTCCATTTTGTTTAAAATTTCGTGGACTAACCAAACCTCAGTGTACAAGGAGAATTCAGGGAGAACCCAAATTAATTTAACCCCCACAGGGAAAGCCAAACCTAAAACGTAGGACTCTTCTTTACCGACACTACCTATGTTCCAGGTGACTGTACTCCCTTAGGACAACACCAGGGCTGAATATGTTAAGCTACTTCCTCCTTCCTGATCCAGGATCATTCTCGAACACTATGGGACGATTAGGTGTGTCAGCAAGCCGGTACACGAGGCCAGGGACGGTTGTCGACAGCGAATGCCTATCGTTCATCGACATTCACTTGATTGTTTATGGTGTTGTACACCAGTAGCGGATGTCACTTCTACCGGCATGTTTTGACATTTAGAGAACACTTGATACGTGATACAGTATTTTTAATCATTAATGATGAATCAATTAGGGAGGAGATACTATGGTATTCATTGTAATTGCATTTGTGACATACATCCTTTTTAAACAATTATTAATGCAGGTCATGGAGATTAATTAAAATTTAGTTACTGATGTGTTATAAATAATTAATGAAACAGCAATTTCATTACCCAATTTCGTAGATAATATATCGATCCATGGTCCAAGAACTAACTGAGGACATCCTATTAATGGAATATAGTAATACCATGATTACTATGGTTAATACCTTTATCAGAGCTATCGAACTAATCCACATTAAATGGAGGACATAATACTATTGATAGAATAATCTCAGGAGGACAGGATTTTAATCTGATCTCTGGGCACAACGAAGATGCTTGAATTTTTAAGTAGTGTATAATTGTTAATTTCTAAGTAAAATTCCTTCCTTGCTTTTTTTAATGATGTTATTGACATTGCTATTGCAGGGTTTAATTTTATAACTCGGTTACGTTCGTCGCAATTTGATTACTTAATCGATGGTTTTTTAAAAATTCCATCGTTTGGATTTCTCGAATTTTTTTCATTTTCTGCCATTCGTGCGTGAAAATGGTCGGTCAAGATAGAACCTCAGTTTGAATTTCTCAACAATATTTCTTCATTTATTTAACAGACGATTGCCATCGTTTGCGACAGTTCATTTTTTATACAAAACTAGATATCATTTTTTGATTATAATTATCTTTATCTTAAATAGTCTCAAATTTAATTGCAACGCCTTACATTGTAACTGTTACACAGAAAATCACATTTTTGTCTTATTTAATCACGTTTCTTTATTGGTCCATCAGACGGTCACTGGATTTCGTATTGCATCGTGTAATCATTACATCGTAATGAACTTGTCCTAATTAGGCGTTCGGTGCTCGTTAGAAAATGATTGTTCCACCAAATGGGTGTCATTGTTCCCTAGCTGTGTTTCGCAAGGTGTAATTGTTCGAAGGATTATTAAGAACTCGGGCGTAGCGATACGTGATGGAATTCTCTTGAAATTTGCATCGAAGACCATGATCGAGGAATTCAAGGATCTATGATCGTATGCAAAACCAGTGAAATTTACTGAGAAGGAATTTTCATCAGAAGAAAAGTTGTCAATGAAAAATTCCTAGAAAGCGTTATATTGTATTATGTAAACTGATATTTCGTAGCAATTTACAAGTAAAAAAAGTAAGTGTAATGATACCATACAAGATTTCTTCATCAAAGGATTTTTACTTCAAAATTACCATCGAAAATTTTCAGGAAAATATTTTTAATTAATTTGCAAATATGATTACCAACCCTATATCAAAATACTAAATTGATTAATTGTTGAAGATATTCATTATATTCCTAAAAAAAATAATTCAGCATTCATGACACTTATTCCCATCTTCAAGATCGGCCTTCATCAACCTTGAAGACACTTCCTCTGGTATCACCCTCGAACCGAGTCGAATCGATCTAAGAAGGACACTCGTCTGGCGCAAGAAGATGACTTTTTTACCAGTTTCAGCAACAACGATCGTTTATTGAAATTGACGCAACAGTAACATTTCACCCTGTGGTTTCTTTCACCATGTTCGATCTCGTCCAAACAGAGATACGCCTCTCCCTACCTCTTCTTATTATGTGAAAATCAAGCGGAACGCGCTGCGCGCTCGCGCGAGCAAATATTTCACGTACACTCGCGTCCTGTTGTTTACAAGCGTAACAAGTGGGCGCTTGTATTGTTCCACGACTATATAAGGTGTACCTGGGCCTCTACGACCAGCAGAATAGCATCAGATCGTGGATCATAGCAAACATGAGGCTCCTAGTGAGTACTTGTACCATTTCTTCAAAATTAGACACAGTATTAGATAGTTTTGGTCAATTTTTTATTTTGTCTGATAAGATTGCTGGGGGTTACATTTGTAGTAAAGAGATATGGGGAAATTTTGTGTGTGTTAGTGATTTTTTGTTAGGAGATTGGCACATATTAATGGATCCTCCATTAAGCGCCATTTATTTTGTAATTTTATTTTCTATCATTTTAAAGCTATAGCTTGTCCAATTCCATGGGACACCCTGTATATGTATTTGGTTTATTACGTTTGTAAATTTTTATCACATCTGACCCAGGCTTCGCTGTTAAGTATGGCGCCAAAAAGTGTCCATAACCTCTTTTATTCGTCCAATGTGGTTACCATTATCGCAGAACTACTTAAATTTCTTTTTTTCAGCTTCCATTCTCTTGCTTCCTTCTCTCAGTAACAGCCATTCCAACCTATGGGACCTATCCCGTGGGTGGAATTTATCATGGACCTCCAGCACCCTTGGCCCAAGACGGAAGGGTGATCGACACGCCAGAAGTGGCGCACGCGAAAGCAGCCCACTTAGCAGCTCATGCCATCGAAGCAGCAAAGGCTTCCTCCTTGGGCTACTCGGATTACCCTGATGGAAAATACGAGGAATACGTTAGTCCCGCACAAAACGTTTATCATGGACCTCCGGCACCCTTGGCTCACGATGGACGCGTGATCGACACCCCGGAAGTCGCGCACGCCAAGGCTGCACACTTGGCTGCTCACGCTGATCAACTTTCGAAGATCGTGAAACAGTCCTATGGTGACGCGTATCCTCAGGTCCATTGGTGAACGAGTTAATTGAAGCATCATCGAGTTTAGAACCAGAAAACTTAACCCTCTGGGTATTTTGCTGTATCTTTTGTGGTCCAAATCTTTTTTACATTTTCTATTTATTTTTGGAAAAAGTGAAAAATTTGACTAATTTGATTGTAAGGGTACTTTGTATGGTTCTAGAGTCGATGTGCACAGGGTTTGTTGATGTTCTTGTTTTATTTTCTTTTTTGTACTTGAGATATGATGATGTACGATGAGTTTCTATTGTATAATAAAGAGGTTCAGGATTTTGATGGTTGATTAAAAAGATTGCAATTATTTACTGGAATTTTGGTTGTTGATTATTGTTTACCCCTTCGGATTTTGTATGAATTACAAAATTTATGTAAAATTAAAGCATTTGTTGAAAATGTTTCGTCTCAAAATATCCACGATGATAATAAAATGAATTAAAATAAAGATAAAATTGAGATTAGTTCAAATTCTCCCGCGTAGACGTTTACACGCAAGTGGAGGGGAGCCACGGACCTATATCTACGGGATATACACTACGTTGTCATTCTCCCTGGGGCCGCCTATGGGGAAGGGTGAGAACTCGAGTATATCCCTATTTTTCTAAGAAAATCTAATTTAATAGTGAGTGTACTATTATGAACTTATAAATATGAACTCATTCTTACAAGGAGAACTACCCAAGTGTTACACTCATTTATTAATGAAACTTTGCCAGCTTGTAGAGCTCGTCGAGCTGAACACGCCTATACCCCGTTTTGTGGGCAGACGACTAATTCTTTAAAAGATATTAAGAATTAAAGTTAGTTGCTACTTACGTTGAGAAGTATGACAGACTTACATATACAACTCGCAATCTAGAGATCCACGGTTCAAATCCTTGATTCCCGACATTTTTTTTTTTTTTATGATAATTTGTCTCTTTCTGAATAACTATTACATAAAAATTATCATAAAAGAAAAAAAAAATTTTTTTGGGAACCTAGGATTTGAACCGAGGACCTTCAACTTGCAAGTCACGGATCTGCTCCGTGGTTAAACACATGGAGTCGTAATCTGAAGGTCCTCGGTTCAAATCTCGGGTTACTGTTTTTTTTTTTTTTTTTTTTTTTTTTTTTTTTTTTTTTTAGAATGATAATCTTTAGGTAATAGTTGTTCAAAAAGGGACAAATTGTCATTAAAAAAAAAAGAAGATTGGGAACCAATGATTTCAACCGTGGATCTCTAGATTGCGAATTGGATGTGTGAGTTTGTGATACTTCAGAATGTAAGGAATGACTAACTGTAATTGTTCATATCTTTTAAACAATTAGCTGTTTGCCCCCAAAAGGGGGTGTAGGCGTGTTCAGCGCGATGAGCTCTACAAGCTAGCAAAGTTTCATTAATAAGTGAGTGTAACACTTGGGTAGTTCCCCTTGTTAAATTTTTCATGCATTGCAGGTGCCCATTGAAAAGGGATGAAAGTACTAACAAAAATTGAAGTTAATGTAATACGAAAATGTTAAGTCACCCGTTGATTTCTTCGCGTTACGCATTCCCATTTGATCTAACATGTTCAGTCATTCAAATCTCCTCCCGACCACATCTACTTCGTTATCAAAGCGTTGGCGACAAGCTCGCAGTTCCGTTCAGGTCGACACGCGAACAATGCACGAGGTGGTCTTTGAACCAGGACAACTGTTGCAGCAACGTTCGTTATTTAAAGAAAAAAGAAAAAGAAGCTGAATGCGCCACTTGTATCACGACGTGACAACATGCCGCCTGTAAAGGTGGGTGAGAATGTACTTCACAAACTGCAACCCATTGTGAGAAATATTCTAAAGAATTCGTATGCTATTCCTGTTGCAGTCCAACAAAATTGCGAACATGACAATTTGAAATTACTATGATTTTAAAAATGTATACTAACAAGACTTTATTACTGATTGCTACAAATGTTATGTTTAAACGGTGGGGTGAGATCGTTTTCCCTGCTTCTTCAATATACATAATATAGGTTAGGTGATCAATGATTTCCTGCTGCTGTTGAGTTGAATCAAAGTTCATGCTACCAATGACTTCCTTGACAGACTAGAATGCTATTATAGATGCGATGGTATTATTTTAGAACTTAATTGGGTTAGGAAAGTAAGTACATGTATTATAACAGAAGTGGCCATGTCTGCCATGGCACACTACAATATGAATTATTGAAGATATTAAAAATTAATTTCTTTGCTATTTTAAATTGTTATAAATTATCTTGTAATTTTTATTTCTTAATTATTTGGCCAAATTAGTGAAAAATTTACGGAATGATAATATTGCAATAAATAACGAGGAGGTCGGAATTGCATCCGCGATGACGGGCGTCCACGTGTTTTCTAGTGTCGCATAGTTAGCAATCGAGTTTTATTCTTGACGAGGTTACGGGACACGGTGTCATTGTTAATGCCTGGTAAATGTTACGGGGCATGGCAGCCAGCCTTAAGCAGAGCATTTTCTTGGGTGTGGTTATACCCCGTTGTGTCGTACTGCCTTGCAAGGGGTGGGGCACCATATACTAACGCAGCCTGTACCCCTATAAATTGGACGATCCACGATAGTGGATCTTAAAGCTCTATTGATAGTCGCTGGATCGACGTGCACTGAGCTTCGACAGAATGATCCGGTACCTTGTGAGTACACTATATCTCTCCGCATTTTTATTTTAGAAACTTTAATAAATTTGTCATACTTCATTTTGTAATTTTTCACAAGAGCAACTACTGTCTTGTGTTATTTCATTTTTGTATAATTTTAAATGGTATTTATCTGAATTTGTATTTTAAGATTTTGTTATATTATTTTTTGAACTTAATCATAGTTTCTGCCAGATATCTTTGCAAAAATGGGTATTAGCAGACATTTCATCAAAATGTCAACATAATTTCTACAGATTTGTATAAGTCCTACCTTCCTCTATCAGCTAAGAATTTTATCGAACAAAGTTATTAATTCTTTGGAGTATCCAAACGATCGACCATTCTGAAATCGTGGATACGCATGACCGACTGCATTCTATTACTGACATTTTCTGGTTTGTCTGTTACAGGTTCTTCTTTTCGTCACTTTACACGTGGTTTGCTGTGCACCACAGTGGTATGGCGGTGGTCATCCTGGAGCCTATGGTGGCCATGCAGCTCCAGCGCCATTGGGACCCGATGGAAGAGTCGTAGACACACCGGAAGTGGCACAGCTGAAGGCAGCTCATTTGGCTGCTTTAGCTGATGCCAATGCTAGAGCACCCAAGGGTCTGGGTCCTGCTGGTCCCTATCCCGGCCCTGCTGGTTCCTACGCACCTGGAAACTATGCTGCACACTACAGGTTTTAGATATTGTCTCAAAGTAGAGGAATTTATCTTTTCCCTTTGTTTAAATGTCTATAATTATGAAAAAATGACAGAATTCAAAATGGTATCCCGTTTACTTTTTCTGATTCTTTATCGCTAATACTTTATCATTTTTATTTTTCAGTGGACCACCAGCTCCATTGGGACCAGATGGCCGCGTGGTGGACACGCCGGAAGTGCAGCAAGCAAAGGCTGTGCATTTTTCCCTATACAGTGCTGAAGCTCAACGCGCCCCCACTGGCCCAGCTGGCCCAGCTGCACCTGTTCCCCACAACCCTTCATGGAATTCAGGCGCTTACAATCCGTCCTGGAACGAGAACAGTTGGAATCAGTATTAGATATTACAAACGATCGTCCATTCTTCCTTCTTTCATGTTCTACCTCGATCCACTCGATCTACCTCGATCATTATGACAGAGAAAATATTATCGAAAATCTACACTATTTTCATTTTTTCTTTTTCTTTGTCTCTTTTGTGGCTTACTGTTTATTATGATTGCAGCTGGTGATTTGCAATCGTGTTTCATCTACCTCCTTTTTCATTCTTTATTTTCTGAGCTCGTATTGCATGATCACATTCAAAATCAAAATTTTGATTTGTAATATTTTTAAAAGGGTCCACTGAACTTTTAATAAATTTGCAACAATATTCTATCCAATTCAAAAAATGGTGAAATATGAAAAAATCTCTTTCCTACATTTTCTATTCTATTCTTCTATAATATAAATGTTATTATTTACATTATTTACAACGAAGAATAGGTTCTATTGGTTTCTGTGTGAAAATTGTGAAGCAAAGAATGTTGATAGTGTGACGTTTTCACAATGAGTTCTAACGAAAGTGAAAACTGAAACGCGTGTTATTTGTCGTCGAATAAAAATGAAAGTATTATTTGTCGTAGAATGGAAATGATATAACGGTGAAGTGTACCGTTACAGATATTATCGAGCCTTCTGCAAAAATCATGTCACATTCCTCTTCAAGGTGATCTCTTCATCGCTTTCGCGTTAGTTAGCCAGAGAAAGTAAGTATATAGGTACAAAAATTATAATTTAATTGTTTGTCACATTTTAATTCAAATACTTTTGTGTGCTTCTGTATAAAAAATAACCATTTGATACACAGTTGTTACTGTTTTTAATTATTCATAATGGAGACGATTATAATTATCAAGAAACATCGAACTTAAAATTCCAGGCCCTTAATACTTTCAATACGGATGACATCATAAGATTTTAAACTTGACGAATGCCACGAACGCGTGACGTCTTAAGATGTCACGCTTGACATGGCAGGTCGCAGGTCACTTAGCGCCGCTTCTGAACGCTTTAATTTATGACCTGGTTATAGAATTTGTCAATCGGTTTTCTCTTGGTCTTCAAATCTAGTTTCGAGGGCTGTACGTGTTGAAGTGTCGCATTCTTCGTCAAGCATGGTCAATCACGTCCTTGTTGGCAACACGAAATACCGTCTAGGATACACGGTGTCACGTTTTACGTTTTTCAAGTCACGGGCAGAACCGGTTCCACGGTGTCTGCTCGTTGGATAAGCACAAGGATTCGAGTCGGTCGAGCTACCGGTAGCAGACACGATTCACGGATCATTTGCTCGATCAGAACTCGGATCACGAGCCATTTATCGTGATCCTTATCGCGACGATCGCGTTTAATTGGTCGTTTAAAACGTGATGGATATTGAAATCCAAGCACTTTCTGAACTACGAAGGTCAAAATCAGGATCTGCTGAGATTGAACAAGAAAAAGCGTTGTAAAGATAAGAATTTATTATGTTCGAGTAAATTGAATTGAACAGATAATAAATTTCGAAAGGGTAATGATGGTATCTTGATCAATGACATATGGGCCAAGGTGGTCCTAACCTCAAAAGTATAGATTGATTCTCGTTTTAAAATCTTATTTTAATAAAAATAAATATTTGGGTCAAAATGCAAAATGTAATGTTACTAAATACAAAGTGAAATTATAAATGAAAATTGTTAGAGTTAAACATAACCTAACATTTTTGGTAAAGCTGTGGCTCCCTCTAGACAAAAATCCTAGTTACAAAATAGGCACAGCTTGTGAATTCCGATTAATGTCAGGGAATTCTTGTTACACCATACAAAGACCAAACTGGGAGTGCTCTTCCTTTCCATTTCACATTGAATGACGCCCACTGTACCTACTTACTTACTTATTTACCTACATTCGAGCCTGAGTAATCTGGGACATTGTAGGATGACAGAATAAGTGCATGCCCACATTAAAAGCTGTTTTCAGAATTGGAAAAATGAAAAAATTAAAAGGATTAGAGGAAAGAGATTAAAATTCTTTGTTTTATTTCACCACGAAGAAGCAGTAAAAAATGGAATACATTTTGGTGGCAAATTTCTACTGCAGGACTTCTTAATTTAATTAGATTTTCATCATACACCGTGTCAAAAATCTGCTTATTACCTAAGAAACATTATAAACAAATCTTACATTTAACTTAAAAATTTCGTAATCACTTAACAATTGTATGGCAATGAAATTCATCTATATAAAATAACTGAAGTAATATTAAATTCTAAATAAACATTATTTACAAGATACGAGTACAATTCTGTCTATTTCATCATTCGACTTCTGTCAAGTATCAAAACGGAAATTGTCTTTCAAAATGGTGTGTAAAAAAAATCAGGTACAATATAAAATTCTGCTTCTAACAATAAGTCCAACAATCAATTGATAATAGATATGACGAAAAATCGAATGATTTTGGTTTCTGGTTATTCTTAAATCTACTGTCTTTACAATAAATTCAATGAAGTTCGAAAAAATTTGGAATTCCATGCAATTTGATCGGATCGAAATTTCGGGTATTTTATGGACCCGTTCATCCGAACTTCATTAGACGTTAAAAATCATTTGTATTTTTCAGTAATAAAGATCATTCTGCGTGGACATCGCGATAGCACGAGCATGGGCCTTCATGTGTGCCTCGCGCGCCCTCATCACTTCTGGCGTGTCCACGACGCGTCCATCCGGACCAATTGGCGCAAAAGGTCCTCGGTAACCCACCGATGGCGCGTGTTTATAAGCAACACGAACTGGAGTAACGTAAACCAAATTCTTCTGACCATCGAACACGTCGAATTCGTAAAATTCGGACGCTTTCGATGCTGCTCTGGCATGCGTTGTTAAGTAGGAGTTCTTAGGCTCCGCCATCTTGAATTAGAAGAATAAAAAGTTAGGTTATGTAACTTTGAAATTTAATTTTTAGCTTGCTTAGGACTTGCCTCTTCTTTTTTCCAAAATTAGATAAATTTTGATTTTGATATTAATATTAATCTTTGGACAGTGGAGTCTGGGTCAATGCGACCCAAATTTACAAAAGATATTCAAGAATATTATTTCATAGAAAATTAATTTTTATAATGATTTTTATGTACTCACCTCAGGAGTGCCCATCATGCGTTCATCGTGAGCGGAAGGAGGAAACATTCTTTGACGCTGACGTTTGGGCATCATTGGTTCATCCATCATCGGAGGCGACAAATACGACATTTCATTATTTTCATACATTTCATAATCGTTCTGAGCCTTCCTCAATCTGTCTACAGTTTCAGCGTGCATGGCTAGATGGGCAGCTCTCGCGTGGGCCACTTCCGGTGTGTCCATCACCATCCCATCGTTGTTGAGGGGGGCTGGAGGACCACGGTACTGGTAATATTGCCTATCCTCGTAAATTTCGGCGACTGCCAGTGTGGCTAACGTAGCCAGGACTATCTGGAAAAAAGGACGACATTCTGTGAGTACTCATTTTCTAATTTTCATTTATTTAAAATATAAAAATGAAATTTGAATAATAATTTTAGTCCAAGATTAATATATTTTCTTATAAATAAATAACTATTATTTGAAGATTATTAAACACTGATTATTTAAAATAAAAGCTAACACAATTTTCTATTTCTTAAACAATTTTGAAATTCTTTCGCGACATCTTCTGTTTTTATTTCGATTACAATAAGTTTTTAAAGCAACCCTTTTAAAATTTTTTTGAAAATCGAACTTACGAGTAATCTCATGCTGCTGAAACACCAGCGGCTATGAAAACAGACGACTTGGTTGCGAGTGTGCCAATATCGATCGATCGATCTAGCTTTTATAGGGTTGCGGTGACGAGGCGGGAAACCACTTTACGATGGTCACATCTGGAATGAAAATGATACTTTAATTGTTTCGCTACCGTGTGATAAATATTAACCGTGACCCTGTCAGATGCATCCACTTCGAATTTCAGTAATTTATACATCAGAATTGATTCTATAAGAAATCTCAAAACTTTCCAATAAAAATTTGCATAAATTTATTAAAAATATTAAATTTTACCATTTAACTTTGTTGCACTTTATCAAAAATTGACAAACCTTTCAATACAGCAAGTGTACATTTAATAAAAATTCTACTTCTAACAAAAAGTAAGTGTAAACTTAAATAAAACTTAAGTGTATTTTTTAATTTTGATAAATTGATAATCAAATAATATTTTTAAATGAATGAAATACTATATTAATTATGTAACAAATTTCCAAAGCACTCAATATAGGTATTAAAAATCAAGTGATTGTAAATTTAATAAATTAAAATAAATTGATTGTAAAATAGTATTTAATTAGCAGTCGTCCTTAAATGTCCCTGATATCACGTCTCGACTTTTCGAGGCCGAGTTTTCACACGTTGCAATCTCACCCCTCGCCGCAGAACTTAAGCAAAATTTTTCTGCGGTTTCAAAACAAGCCTTATTCACGGACGACTAGACAGGATCATAGTTCTTCCAGTGATCTAGCGATCCCTTCAAGGTAGTCCTCTTTCTACCATGAGGACTCGTTCCCTTATAAACGACGCTTCAGACTGGTTAAACAACAAGTTAGTCCAGGGAGTTTCAAAAATTAATACAATCTTTCTTTATTGTATATCTAAGGACTTTGGGATTAATAATAGGTAAGAAACAAAATTTTTAGTTGCTAATTGTTAAATTTTACTTCATTATTAAAAGTAACATTTTGCTTTTATGTATCTTAAATTTTATTAATTTTTATTACTGTCTTTGATAATAATATTATTACAAATTGGAGATATTTATTGAATTTTTATGTTTTATTGCATATTAAATTGACAAAAAAATGAGTACGTTGACCTGGTTTGTTAATTAACACCGATTCAAATTCCCTGTTTACACTGTAACACGATACAATTCGGTCGAGAACTTTAAGAAATCGTTGCGCAAAGTTCCACGCAAACTTGTTCTTCCAATATGTAATGCGTAGATCAGAGTAGATTAGATCACGATCGATCATAAACCTTCATCATTTTACAGTAATAAAATCTAATTAAATAACAATTTTCTCATTCAAATTTGTTTCTGAATTGGAAGAAACAGCAACTCGTGCTTCTGTTAGATCATAATTGATGATTCGATTTCGCTTTCTATATTTTCATGCACGTTCAAGAATGCTCTGGACCCAATTGAATGATAATTCCCGACCTTTCTGTACGAAAAATCAACGAATCATGATGATCAAGTTCGTTCAACAGGAACGAATCCACGTTCCTTGCGTTTCTTCTCACGTCTTTCATAGCAGCACTGACCTATTTCGTAATAATTACGATCTAGAGCGAACTTATGACTGAAAGGTAATCCCATTTCCACGAAACTTTCGTCGAATTGATCTCCAGAATTCAGAAAATTTATTATAAACATTAATTTTTCAATAAATTTATTTTTGGGAAAGAATGTTTAATTCTTAAAATTTATCTTCAGTTTTACCTCAACTTATATTTGTAAATTGATTCCAGTGTTTCGTCGTGATAGAAATTTTCACGCCAAATGGCCATGAAGGGGTGTTCTCGTTGACTGGACCGAGGTTAGGACATCTTTCTAATTCTTGGATTACGTTGACCACAGTGCACAGTGAAATCAAATGTAGGTGAACCAGCGGTTTCTGATAACTAAAACTTGTCACCGATTCGTGAGGTACATTGATTCGATGGATTATGGATGCAGAATTTATTTTAATAAATTATTATGAGCTTGATGGGAAGAATAGATAATGGAGGAGCTAATTAATAGAAAGAAAAATGAATATATTATCTGAAAGGACATTTATTATTTAATCAAAATTCTATAATTTAGCAAGAAATTAGATTCATTTGTTTAATTAATAATTATAGCGAATTTGTTGAATTATTCCTCTGGATTTTAGGAATCTACTTTTTTGAAAGAAATTCAGAGTTATAAAATGAATGTAATCTATTTCCTAAATTAGAAAATTAGATCGGTACCATTTATTATAAATGAATAAAATTTCTTTTATAAAACAAAACTTCTAATGTTCAGTGTAATCGAAAATAATTCTTGTTTATTAAAAGTATCACAGTACTCGAAATTTGAAAAAGAAAAGGACTAACAAAAATTTTTGGGGCTTATGATTTTATAGAAAAATTAATATCAAGTATTTTAGAGTCCTTTATGTTTATTTAAATTGTATTGACTTTGTGTAATTAATGTTGACTAATTAAACTCACAAGACTACGAAAAAGATAAAAAAATTAATTGTATCTTTAGATTAAATAACAATTTAATAAGAAGAATAATCAAGGAATTAAAGAAGGATCCTAAGAATAAATAGGAAACCAGTAATGAAATATTCATTTCATAAAAAAAAAAGGAAGGAAACAATTTATTGGCCTAAATTATGTACAAGTGTTAATTTTATTCCGAATTTCAGTAAGCACCGACTAATTGTTGTTGCTGGTAGTTTTGAGGTTGAAAAGCAGGCTTGCTAAAGGAAGCTTGTGGTCCAGTGTACGAAGGTCCTGAGGCTGGATATACTCTTCCTGCTGGAGCATTGTACTGTCCAGCATTGTATTGAACTGGAGATGGTCCAGCTGGTGGTCCACCATAAACTGCAACATGGTTGATAAAATAAAAATAATTTAGTAATTTATTTTAAACAAATTCAGTGCATTGATTCACAAAATTTTTAAACTTTTGCCAGAATTTATTTCATTTATTCGAATCATGGTGCTAATTAATTCATGCATTAAATCGATTACGATCGATGCCATTTCTCGCTCGGTAAGAATGATCCATGACTCAATGTCTCTGTTTAATATTCCTAAACAGAAATGGCCAGGTCACGATTAACCCCTGTACAGACCATTCTCATAGGAACAATTGAACGATTAAGTTGTTGAGTAAGAGGTTGGCTATTTCATTGCATCATTGTGTCTCAATGTATTCATAGTCCATCAGAGTTCAATTTACATTAGATCAACTAGTTTTGATAGCTTGCAAATATTCAAAATGGTGCACCTTGATAATTGAATATACAATTAGCTTCTCCCCTTACCTATTACTTTATTATTGAACTTTGCTTTTTTTAGGTATTTTAACAAATTTATTAAAAGTCCTTTCAACAATCTCTTACCTTTCTATGTTTCTCCCTCTTTTAATATACTCATTATTTTTAATGACAAACCAAAAGATCATTGATCGTTTAACACGTTGAATGCCACGTCAGACCTAATTAACTCCTGAAATTTTGCAATTAATCAAGGGCAACATCCCCGATCGTGAACATACCTTGGCCTTGAGCTTCCGGTTTGAAATCTTGCGCGAACTTGTACGCTCTTGCTTCAGCCTCAGCCAGTTCTGCTAACCTGGCGGCCTTAAGAGCGGCTACTTCCGGTGTATCGATTACCGTACCATCATCCGCGAGAGGTGCAGGAACGAAGGGGGTGGGTTTAACCGGAGGTGCGTAATTCTGTTGGCCAACGTAATTTGTGTTTCCAGTGTACTGTGGTTGGTAGGCGACTGGGTTTGGTTGAGTGTACATGGGCGCTGGAACTGTAATTATTTGTGTAATTAACTATATTCCATTGTGTTATTGTTAAGTGGAAATACAGAGTAGTCAAATTGTATCCCATAATCATTTTAACCCCAAAGTACCACGTGGGTCGGATTTGACCGTGTCGAAATTAAATCCATAGATCATTTTCATTGCGGCAGTCAACGTGTTAAACAGGCCCAGGGTCACCCTTATATTTCTAAGTAGTTAAGGGTTAATTAATTGCAATTCAGAAAATGTTACCTGGAGCAGATTGATAAATTGGTGCAGAGGATTGATAACTCGGTTGTCTGACATAAGCAGCAGCAGTTGGTTGAGCAGAGGGGTAGTTATAAGACTGTGATGACCCGCGAGGGTTGTATTCCTGGGCATTTTGGGGTTGATTCTTCAATTGTTCAGCTGCTCTGGCCGCAGCTCTGGCGAATTCGGCGAAATGTGCTGCCTTTGCTTCAGCCACCTCCGGAGTATCGATCACGTTCCCATCTTGGCCAACCGGTGCAGGGGGTGCGAACCTCTGAGGCACAGCTTGGGGACGAATTTGGGGTTCATGGTAGGAGGGTGCGTCAAGGAAACCCGCCTTGCAACTGGCCACCAGGGCAACTAAAATTACCTGGAATAAAATGTAATAAAATAAAAGAATTCAATTGTTTGTAATAATTTGTATAATTTGTTAAAGTATCAAAAAATTAATTAACAATTATTTAAAGTTTCTAAATTTAATTACCAAAGTGATATAAATAAACGAAAGCACACCCAAAATCCCAATCACGTACAATAAATCGATCGAACGAAAGTTCCATTCCACAAACAGTGATCAGTACTGCGTGGGCTCGTGAATGACCCGACCTAACCTAACCTTTCACTTTCCTTTGTTCGCCATATCTCTGCGCACAGCGTGTAACCAGGACTCACCAATCCTTTCATGATCCTTTATCTTTCTTTCTCTTTCAGGGCTGGCAAAAAAAAAAAGAAAATGGCGCTGCTGGGTGGCCAGTACTCGCTCGTTTCCGCTCCAGCCGTGGTCGGACGTTTTGTGTTCCTGGAGAACGGCCGGTTGGTACCATTTATAGCTGTGATCATCCGCCCCCTCCTACATGGACCACTTGGCCACGACCTGGAGGGAGCCAGGAGGTGATCGGTGAACCCACGTAGCCTGGGAAGCGCGCCAGGAAAAAGGATACTCCCTCCTTTCGGGCCTGGCTGCCAGGACCTTGGCATTTCAACGGGTTCCATGCACTCTTACACCGGAAGGATGCTGTTCTGACAACTTTGGATAGGCTACAAGAGGGGTCTTAGGGTTCCCATGACATCCAAGTATGGTGATATGAAGGAAATTCATACGAAATGGATAATGGTATTCAAATTGGTATCCCAGTACCATTGGTACCAAAGTATCAAAATATTGAGTAGGTTCAAATCAGATAATTATGGAATGGGTAGGCTTAGATGAAATTAGAGTGAACAAAATAAACATTAATTAACTTCTCTTTTACTTATTCGAGCTAAATTACTCGAGAGATTGTCTCAATTACAATAAAAATGCAATGGGAAGACAAACTGCAATTACATTTCTGGCAGTCAGAAACATGAGAATTCACGTGAGACTCGTACAGCACGTGAGAAGTACATTGCATCATAACAGAGGAAGTTACATCCGCGACATTTTTCTCTGTAATTATATATGGGAAATGGTTTTGCTCGCGGTGAGAAGTTATCTATGTTGTAATTACGTTTCAAGATCTGTCTTTATATCGTATCAACAATTTTTAATTATTTTCTTCCTAAACAAAACTGCATAATTAGGCAATAATTACAATTGATTGCATAGACTTTCTATTCGAATTTTCAATTTTCTATTATATTTTATTTTGAAATATTGTAAATTTAATAAATATAAGAATGTACATTGCAAAAATTGTTATTCTTTCAATTTTATAATAAATGAACCTTCAATTTTCACACGCATAATCGTTTACGTTCTGTTCATAGCAGACAGAACGATATATCAGTCGAATCGGTCGATTTTGTTTCTCCTTTCGCCCAGTAATTCGTTGTCCTTTAGACAAAGACGTAAATGCAACTGTTAAACGACTTACCAACCCTGAACGGACGAAGGACTCGAGCCTCGAAGGACAGTCTTGCAAGGAGAATGCATTCCTTCAATATTTTTTCACTTCAACTAGTGCATTCATACAGTACGAAGTCGGGTTGCAAAGAAAGCAGGTTCGAATGAAAATTTCGTATTCTGAATAAGATACACTGATTATTGTTAATTAACACCTTGATGAATGATATTTAGAACAATCTTTTGTAATGTTTTGTTGAATCATGATGTATGAATAAAAATGATGATATCGTTGTAATATTAACATTGTATGAATACTTAGGATGTCATGATACTTTTCATATTTTTGTATTGTTTGCATTTTGTAATGGAAATTATTTATAATAGCTGGGAAGTAATGATAATGTTAATTGGATCAGAGGCTAATTTTATAGAAAAATGGATATTTTGGTACTCTAGTATTATAGTATTTTGGTGCCATAAGAACTGTTTTGTCCCCCTGTTGCATGTGTAATTACGAAATCACGGGTATTCAGTTCACAGGTGTCACAATCGGTGACAACAATTTTCAATTGGCGAAACAATAATTGTAAAAAGGATTTTGCAATTGCGTGCGTGTAATATTAGAAAGCTATCGCACATTTTTTTACCGAATCTATCGAGAGAAACCCTTCGATTACCTAAGAAATGATTACAATGTTTTTCCACTTCTTGCACTTTTGGAATTTCTGAAAGAAAATATTTCCTCCTCCCGATAAGAAGCATACATACCTCTTCTTAGTGATAAAACGAGGGCAAAAATTTTGGGACATGCAATAGATTTATTAATCATACGTAACAACCGTGTAAGGAAAGAAATTATTAGGTGAAAGTTACAAAAGAACTTACATCAAATTTATTTATTGAGGGACTAAAACAGTTGATTACGTTGGAGGTATTTATGAGTTCATAAAATAATTGATTTATTTACAGGTGAGTACCGAATAAATAAATGATTTTTCAGTCCTAACAGGAGGAACTACCCAAGTGTTACAGTAACTTATTAATGAAACTTTGCCACCTTGTAGAGCTCGTCGAGCTGAACATGCCTGTACCCCGTTTTGTAGGCAGACGGCTAATTGTTTAAAAGATATTAATAATTAAAGTTAGTTAGTTACTACTTACATTGAGAAGTATCACAGACTCTCACATCCAACTTGCAATCTAGAGATCCTCGGTTCAAATCCTTCATTCCCAACTTTTTTTTTTCTTTTAATGATAATTTGTCTCTTTTTGAATAATTCTTACCTGAAAATTATTATTCTAAAAAAAAAAAAAAAAAAAAAAAAAAAAAACAGTTGCCCGGGAATTGAACCGAGGACCTTCACATTACGAGACCATGTGTTTAACCACGGAACAGATCCGTGACTTACAATTTGAAGGTTCACGGTTCAAATCCTTGGTTCCCAAAAAAATTTTTTTTTTCTTTTATGATAATTTTTATGTAATAGTTATTCAAAAAGAGACAAATTATCATTAGAAAAAGAAAAAGAATGTCGGGAATCAAGGATTTGAACCGTGGATCTCTAAATTGCGAGTTGTATGTGTGAGTCTGTCATACTTCTCAACGTAAGTAGTAACTAACTTTAATTATTAATATCTTTTAAACAATTAGTTGTCTGCCCACAAAACGGGGTATAGGCGTGTTCAGCTCGACGAGCTCTACAAGCTGGCAAAGTTTCATTAATAAGTGAGCGTAACACTTGGGTAGGTCTCCTTGTAAGTGTTGAATCTGATAGGAACCTTTCTTGCAGACTGAACTTCTTTGGACAGCTATGCTGCATAACTGAAATTTTTAATGACACATGTAAAAAGATTCATATAAAATAGAAATACCTGTTTTCTAATAAATTTTGATTCAGCCTCATGGAGCCCAACCCTATATCCCTTATATTCGCACATCTCTTACATCTTTGCATCCCTTACATCTCTGCTTTCATTATATTCCTGCATCACTTACACCCCTGTATCCCTTATATCCTTGCATCGCTTATAGCCCTGCATCCCTTATATGTCTGCAACCCTTACATCCTTTACATCCCTGCAACAGACATCGAAAAATTGTGCGGAATTTAGTTCCAATTTTCACCGCTAGATGGCACTGATTCGACGTTTGAAATTTAGTTCACATTTTTGCCGCTAGAGGGCCAAAATTTGGGCAAGCTTTAGTTCCTTTTTCCAAATCCAGGTGGCGCTGATTCGACATTCGAAATTTAGTTCACATTTTTGCCGCTAGAGGGCCAAAATTTCGACAAGCTTTAGTTCCTTTTTCCAAATCCAGATGGCGCTGATTCGACATTCGAAATTTAGTTCGCATTTTTGCCGCTAGAGGGCCAAAATTTCGACAAGCTTTAGTTCCTTTTTCCAAATCCAGGTGGCGCTGATTCGACATTCGAAATTTAGTTCACATTTTTGCCGCTAGAGGGCCAAAATTTCGACAAGCTTTAGTTCCTTTTTCCAAATCCAGAGGGCGCTGATTCGACATTCGAAATTTAGTTCACATTTTTGCCGCTAGAGGGCGTGAAATTTTTGCGAAATTTAATTCCGCTTGTTGTCAGGGAAGTAGAAGTGTGAGGAATGCAGGGATATAAAGAACTCAGGAATGTAAGGGATGCAGAGATATAAAGGATTCAAGGATGTGAGGGATGCAGAGGTATAAAGAATTCAGGAATGTAAGGGATGTAGAGATATAAAGAATGCAGAGTCCATTTTGATATTTCTATGTAGTCGAGTTTATTCACGAATTGGCGTAATACAGATGTAAAATGAAAGACCATGGTTTTGATAAGATAGAAATGAAAAAATAATTAAACAAAATTTACAATTACACACCTCGTGAACAATTGAGTACACATAATTCTTATTCTAATCTTAAAACTAAGAAAACCTAAGTAAATTTTAAAAAGAATTAATTAATTGCTCAAAGTCACGGTTTAAATCAAACCAGACAGAAAGAAAACCACAAACAAAATAAGAAATGTGTTCAGCGACTTCGAGCAGTCAATTAACCTCTAATTAGTTACAAAAACCAACGGTTGCCGCTCGAATTGACCGCATGACTTAAATATATCCTTTATTTAAGAGCCCACGTCGTATGTACAAGAAATAAACGAATGACCCAGCCAACGTCGCCAAGTGTTCAGTATTCCAGATCCATAATTTCATCCTTAGAGGATATATTTCTGGATCAAGGGAGAGGAATACGTCGAAATGACTACAGGAAAGTCTCCCGACTTTCCAGCCTCAGCAATGTGACCTATCTTCTCGTTAATATGTGCTGCCGCATGTTCAGCCTTCGCATACGCAACTTCCGGGGTGTCTACAACTCGACCATCAGGTCCCACGGGTGCAGAGGGGACTAGTTTCGCAATGGTGATCGGTTCCACGTTGCTGGTGATCACAGGAGATGTATAAGCGATCACGTCAGCTGATTTGATGGCTTCGTTGGCTAAAGTGATCCTCTCGTTGATGTGGGCTGCCGCATGCTCTGCCTTCGCATATGCAACTTCCGGGGTGTCCACCACACGACCGTCCAGGCCGATGGGGGCTCCATGGACGATTCTAGCGATGGCCACCGGTGAAGTTAGTGTCGCCACCTGGGGAGACAGCAGTAGGCCTGGTCGAGCCAATGCTACTGCCAGGATAGTGGAGAAAATGATCTAGACATAAAATTGGTTGATGTTATTATTATTGTTTTTTATGGAACAATGTAATTTCTAAGTAGGATAATTATGTGGTGGGTGATTGGAGTAGGTTAAGTGTGTAGGACTGTAGGACTAACTGGGAGGTGTAATTGCTATAAAGACTAAGCAGTATTTTTATGTAATACTTGTGAGTGAATGAACTGTGGGTAGGGTTAGAAGATGGTTAAGTATGTAGGACTAATTGGGAGGTGCAATTGCCATTGTTGTAAAGCCTAAACACTATTTTTATGTAATATTGGTGATTGATTGAACTGTGGGTAGGGTTGGAAGATGGTTAGGTCATGTTAATTGCATAGGATTGATCCATAGACAGCAATTGTCTTTATTTATTATTATTAATTCTGAAGGATAATGTATACAAATGGTTGATATGTGGGTAGGATTGATTAGATAGCATACATAATATGTATAGATTGTTGAAAAATGTAAAGGAAATTTTATGAATGAAATAAAAATTTTATAAACTTTTATAAAAATCTGAGTAATTTAATTTCCCCCAAAAGAAACAAGTGTACAGAAAGTAATTGTTTCAAGAAACAAAGAGTATTAATTGAAAAATTACTCACCAGAGTATTCATGGTGAACAAATGTGGCTCCTTGTACGCTATCTGAAGCACAGTACTCGCAAAGGTGCCTTGTTCTGTTCTTATGGTGTCCACCACGTCCCCTGGCCTTTATATAGTACCTGGGTGAAAAGGTTTCGCTCCATGGGGCACGCGTTCATCGATGGGAGAACGAGCGAATGGGATACGCCCTGTCCAATAAAATCCGATACACTTGACATTGACAGTTGGTCCAATCACGGATCGCAAGGAATTCGACTTTTTTTTCGTTTACCAACCATGAAGATTGACTTAAGAAGGTTCCTGGATATATTCTTTCTTTTTTATTTATGGGACACACGAATTTCTTGTCGAATGGTTGCGAGATCAACTACTTCCTTCTGTGCGACCTTGCCGTTCTTTCGTCACTCTGTATTGGTACAGTCGATTTTTGTTAATTATTCAAGACAAAGAAATACAAGTTAATCTGTTTTTTTTCTCTAATGACAAGTTCTACAAATTTAAACATTTTTGATAAAGTGAGGTCTAATTCAAATAAATATCTTTATTATTATAAAATTATTTATTAATTAAAAATAACTATTTTATTAACATACATTCTATAAATCAAGTCAATCACTCACCTTTCTTCTCACATTACCAGGAACACTAATCCGAACACTATTCTCTATCTAATCTTCCACGCGGATCATTTTTCGATTGTGAAAGAATTATTTCTTTCTAATACCTCGAAGGAGATTAAAACAGAACTAAATCAAACACAACAGAAATTTATTGCAAATAACAGTTCTATAAAAATTTTAATAATAATAGAAAGACGGTGGACATAAAGCATCCCCCTCCTCTTGCCCCCTGGTGTTGCAAGGGTTGAGAGAAAAATTTTAGAAATTTATAATTTTAACATTCCATCAAAAAATTAAAAAGACACTACTCTACCATGAAACAGCATCAACGTACCATCAGGACCAAGCAACAGACTCTGGCTATTACGCGACCGTCCTTCGACTTATTCGCCCTTGGTGATCAGGGCCAGTCCAACATAGAAATGAAAACGGGATCGAGTGTCATCCCGTCGTCGTAAGAGAAGATACGAAAATGGAGCCTGTATTTTTCACCCGCAGATACCGTACTCGGCTTACAAACACGCTTGCCTTGCCCCAAGGCAACGGAAACGCCGGACTTTTCTATCCTCTATGATTTTTCTAAGCCCGCGTTACGTGATCAATCCTAGGCCTCTATAAAAGCTGATCCAGGACTAACCGGCTGCATAGTACGAACGCGCATTGTCCAACGATCCTCCCAGACGGTCGATTCGTCCTCGCCTAACCGATTAGTCCCTCGAACAGGCTGACTCGTTGATCATGGGACCGGTCGTTTTACTGTTGGCAGGCCTGATCTCGGGGGCCCTGGCGAAACCTGGCATCCTATCTGGACAGCTAATCGCTACTCTGACACCTGGTGCATCGATCGGTGCAGACGGTAGAGTGCTAGACACCCAGGAAGTCGCTGTGGCCAGGGCTGAACACGCGGCTGCGCATATCAACGAGAGGCTGAAGCTGGCCGATGAGGCTGCCAGGTCCTCCGATGGGAATCTGGCTCTGGTGAAGCAATCGTCGCTGCTCCTTGCTTCACCGAGGATCCTGGTACCTGGAGCACCCATCGGACCTGATGGCAGAGTCCTGGACACGCCGGAAGTCGCTGTTGCCAGGGCTGCTCATGCTGCCGCGCAGGTCAACGAGAGGATCAACTTGGCTAATGAGGCTGCCAGGTCTGCTGCTGCGGATTTGAATAGGTAATCTGATTATTAAATCATTTTTATACAATGTAACATTATTTTGTTATTTGGAATAAGGACTATATATTCTTAATAAGACATACTTTCAGGCAAGTGGTACCAGTGGTGACCAACGGAATCCTGATCCGTGGAGCCACGATAGGCCCAGATGGAAGGGTACAGGACACACAGGAAGTGGCAGCAGCCAGGGCAGCCCACGCAGCAGCACAAATCAACGAGAGGATCAATTTAGCCAACGAAGCAGTCAGATCTGGCGCTATAGTAACTGGACCATCACTGGCCGTACCTCTGGTGGTCCCCCGGGCACCCATTGGTCCCGACGGGAGGGTGCAAGACACACCGGAAGTGGCTGTGGCGAAAGCTGCCCACGCAACCGCCCATTTGAACGAGAAACTGAACCTTGCCACGGAATCAGCCAAGTCTGCTGATGTTTTGGCTGTCGCTGGCCCTGCGTTCGCTTATGGAAGACTCGTTTATTAAATATCAGAGAATCGTTAGTCGATTAGTAAGGTTATCTTTAGCTGAAGATGTTTGGTAATTTGAATTGCTGATCCAAGAGCAACTTTGGGTAACTTCGGGAGATGTGAGACAGTTTGAGGATGTTTGAAGGATCATTCTCGATCACTCCATTCCTTCGACCCGAAATTTCGATAAATGTAGTTCAGAGATGCTTGATTAAACTGCCACGTGGTGTTGAATAATGTAGACTGGAATAATAAAGTTAAGTTTGATGAAGTTGTGTTTGGTTTGATTTAGTAGAAGGTGATGGGAATTGGGCATTATATAATTTTTTTTAAATTAATTATCATGACGGTCGTCTACTTTAATCGCTGGTAAACTCTCAATCTGTCGGACAAAAAGCCGTTGCTCGAGTTTCATTCTGACACGACAGACGGAGAAATCGATACATATTCATTTCGCAGCGATTTTGTAGCTAAATCTATAGTGGTGTCAAGATCGATTGCATCGAATTTGGGTCGAGGATAGTATGCAAATAGAAGGAGAGACGATTGCAGAACACGAGATGCGTACTGGTATGATCAAGCAGAATCATTGACTTCCGTCATGGTTAAACGACTGGTTAAATAAAACATTTAACAAGAAAAAAATGTCTCTTACGATCCTTGGAATCCTTCGGTATCAGTTTTTTCCTTATTACAGTAACATTGTATTATAGAGTATAATATGAAAAATAAATAATTTTTAATACTTATGATGTTTCCTTTATTTCGATCATTAACTTATCCTTTGAATTTCCAATTCAATTTGCTCGTATTCAATCGATTCGATGCTCATCTAAATATAACTTCAACTGCACTCGTTTGCGTAAAATAAATTATTTATTAACCGGCACGTATAACGATGGTCGCTGTAATTCGCTAATGAGATGCAATCAAATACAATTCATTAATTTTTTAATTAATTTATATTGACTTCAAGAAGAAGTATGTTTGCTCTAACGTTAGAGGATCCTAAGATCCTGCTGGCCACCCATGCGCACAGGACTTCGGCCATGAAGAAAGCTCAGAACACTCAACATTCTGAAACACGATTATTAGACCCCCATATCAGCACATGATCAGCGAAGCAGGAAAGTTTCTCAAAAATTGTCCTGAACAATAATCATAAAGTACTCCTCCAACGCAGACGAAATTCCACAGGTCCCATCGAAGCCCAGTGAACGTCCAACTTATCAAACAGGAATTCGATATTAACCCCCTCTCGATATCGCCTTTAAATTTCATCGAGTCCCATCAACCCGGAAATAAAAAGGGCCATTACGGATTATCGCAAGTTACGAGTCGGCACACCTTCATAGAAATTATTACACCACGAGGATACGGCCCTGAAGTGCAGACATATTAGGGCATACCCGGCCAACGTCGAGTTTGAACGGAAAAAAGCTCGGCTGGAAAGCATTTTAGAGCCGGATTCCAGCTGGAGACCTTGAAGACAAGCGTGACCAGTTTCAAGTTCCTCTTTGGTCCTCCGATGACCCCTGTTACTCTAACCAGGAACAGGATACTAGTCCTGCTGGCGTGTCTTCTATGGAAACAGGGTAATGCATGCAACGAGTTCGAAGATATTCGAGGATATCACTATGGAAGGGTCGTATGTAAGCATGATTCTCTGATAGAAGTGAGTAGGTGGACATATCTGGCCTTTGCATAACGTGGGGGGGGGGGGGGGGGGGGGGGGGCTGGGGGGTATTATGGTGATGCTGGGACTAGGTTTCTTGAGAATGAGACTGTATTTTGTTTAAGGGCTGGTTTATATATTTACTATTTTGAATAAACTTAAGTGGGGGGAGGGGGATTATAATAACCAGGGGGTTTCAGGTACCCCAACATTTTTTTAGGGCTTGGGAGGGATTTTGGAAATTTGTCTAAATAATTATTGAAATTAATTAATAGGCTGACGTACATTTGTCAATTTACTTTTATTCTTCTTTACAAAATAATGCCGGCTGCCATAGGACAATGAAACGCAGGAAATACACACGATATCAATCAATAATATCAACCAAATGAATTCTTAATCTTCATCGTCCTCTTCGTCGTCGCCATTGTCGTATCCCATAGAGATCGCATTTATAAAACAGAGTCGAATCAATACAATAAAAATCGTTGATTAATCAATATCAAAAACTTAATTACTCGCTTAATTAACGATTACAAAAGCCATCTCGAATCAACAACATCCATAATCATTATCACTCTTCCCCTGTAAGAAAATACGTATATGATAAAACAGTTTGCAAATATCAGAACACTTTTGCAAAAATAATCATAAATTTTTGTCTTATTAATTAAATGCTTTTCATTGGAGTCAAATGAAACTTTCGTTCATCGACTGGCAAGAAAAGAATGAAATATAAAAAAAAGATTTTAATGAAAATTGGAATACTGAAAACTCCATTAGGATCGATAAATGCTCGACACTATCAAGGCTCTTATCGTTAACGTTAATTAATAACAATCATTCACAGACAACAATTAGAGCCATGAAATTAGTATCGTTAAGAGAGAAGGTATATCTTTCTTTGCAATTCTGCAAAAATTATTTTACATTATGATACATTTTACACGAGACAATTTAAAACTGTAATAATTAAAAACTGATTATCAAAAATGATAAATGGGAATGATATTAAGAGAAAAAATGAAAAAAAGACGAAAGTGTCCCCTGTGTCACTCGTATTACATCTCACTTGTAGCCGTAATCGCAACACGTTAACATTCCCTTATACATATAATATAAATCTAAATATTAATATTCATATTTATATGTAACATATTCGTCCTAAACGCGCACAAATCCGTGCGATTAAATCTGATTAGTGATTCAAACATTTCGTGCTAATTCCTCTCACACTTTGCTCTTCAATCTGTTTAATTAATTACTTTAATTATAATTTAATCGAATGTCGATTGAAATATTTTTCTAAAATTTTGAACATGATTTGTATCATTTTATAAGTGGTTGTTCATCTAATAATTTAAGATTATAAGCTTCTTTTTTTACTAATTTGTTTATGAAAATTTAACTCGTCAAAGCTTCTATTCTTCTTTGCTTTTTAAATTTTGGTTTTATTAGATTTCTAATTAAAATAAGTAGAATTTAATAATTCATAATTATTAACTATTTTTTATAAGTGAAAGTAATTGTTTTGGAAATTTTCAATTAAACAAGCTTATAATCCACCTTCTTCTATTTAGTTTAAATTTCTTAACATATTCACATCAACATTCGATAAAATCAGATACATTTACGTATTTTTCTTTTCACTCTCGTGAGTAAGAAGTGAAAAGCGTGAGAGACGAGAGAATAAAAGAAACATTTTTGGATCGAGGAGCATTTTCCTCAATGCCCTCCTCCTCCTTCCCCCTCTCCTCCTTTTACTCTCCTCATTCTAGATTTTCTTTTAACTAATTTTACAATGGTACTCGACAATTTGATATACTGATGCTTCGACAACTTCTCCCTTCTTCGAGCTTTTCACTGTGAGCTTTTCCCCTACCTTCATCATTTTTTTAATCAACGTGGGCGGTATTCTCTTGAAACGTCAACGAAAAATCCAAAAAGAGCCACATTTTGTCCACTGGCAATCTTTGTGATTGAAAATCGACTAGGAACAATTTTTGGAAAAAGTCTCTTGATTGCAGTCTAAAAAATTCAATTTGGAACACACGTTCGTCGCCAACGAGCAAAAAATTGCAACGAATGAAAACAATTTTGAACTAGTGATTTTTAGGATTTTCTGAAATATTTGTTGTACGTACAATTTCAATTCCATTCGCTGGCAACGGGCAATCAACCATGTTAAATTATTTAAAATTTATTTGAAACAGAATTGAACGATAATTGTTGGACAAAAAGTGACTCGACAAATATTTATACGGTTCCTCTTTAACTTTTAATTACTCGTTAATAATTCGCGAAACTACGTCGATTTATCTTAGCGACGATAAAACATTATACAACGTTTCTTATTAATTAAATTTTATATATATATTTATTCGTGTACTTGTGTTTTTTCATCTGTGTATGTGTTTGTGTTTAGTTTGTCAGTGCTGGTTAAAGACTTTTTCGACATTTTAAATAATTATTTAAGCCTTGCCTAGTTGCAATAATTTTTCTTCTATATTTTATGTAAAAAAATTAGGACTTAAGTTATATTTTAATAACAGGGGTGTAATGTCAAACATTTTGGAACTCTGAAATTCATTGTTGTTAACAATATACTAAATACTTAAGCAAAAAATAATATTAAAAACAGTGCAGTGTAATAAAGCAGCCAAGGCTCAAATAATTATAAAAAATATTCCAATAATCAATAGCTGCATATGTATTATGTATGCAATATTATTAAAAAAAAGTTCCAGCACTGCATTTTATATCATTTCTTTATTGTATATCTACACAATACTGTTGCGACATTTGTTACGCGATAAATTACGAGCAATTGACTTTATATCCCTATATTAAAGTGTTCAGACGCACGTCCTGAAGAGAGGAATTCAAATAGAAGTAGAAAGAATCATTCTCTCCTTCTTCTTCATTTACATTCACACTGCATTTTTTTCATAGAAAGACAGAAGTCTTTTCTTGCGTTTTCTTTCATTGGAATGTTCTATGATTCGATGAAACAAAATGGAATATTGACGAAAATTGAGTAAACTTTTAGTTACAATGAGATTTCAATAAAATAGTTGAAGAAATTCAATGCAATGAAATTCAATCTTTTTCTTGGAAGGAATTCAATCTGATAATCAGTCATAAGTGTATTATGATTGTGATCATCGTAAAGAGGAAAGCTTCCTCTTTAAAACAGTTTTTGTTTCACGTCGATACGACTTCCGGTTCCTGAGATACGGTCGTTTAAAGCTAAACATGATTTTTCTGGTATTCGATCACTGTGCCACGTACGCTGACATGTCCCGACGCGTCACGTGACTGCGTGTCAATGACATGTCCAGAGGTAAGGCTAGGTCAGCATATCAGTAACGATGTTCGACCGCCATTGAGCGCAGAACTTTAAAGCTTTATATCTCTGGAACCAATTAAGCTATTAACGTGAAACAAAATGCATTATTTACAGAACGTTTTGTTCTATCTCTTAAGAGAACTTGTGACAAGATTTTGTGATTTTTCGGGACACTTTTTACTTAAAGTTTGTACTATATTAGTGTTTGATGAAAGTTTATGCAGTTTATTGAAAGAGAACAAATAGTATTCGCAAAAAATGATTCAGATAGTTAATATTTGCAATGTTTTTTGAGTAAAGAATTAAATTTCAAGGAATGTATCAGCTTTTTATGTTTCTAGAAAGTGGATTATTGAGCATATCACGTTCTTAAGAATTAATCTATTGTTTTTTGTTACGATATTAATGTAAAATAATATGTAGCATTGAGAGAATACTTTCTGGATTGTAGTGGGCTACATTTTCCACAAGAATAAAAGTTGTGATTTTTGTAAGTAGTTAATTAAGTAGTTTTAATTTTGTAACTAATTTAATGTAGTACAGTAACAATGAACTTGATTTCTTAGGTATCTTAATGAGCTCTTGAATTTTATTGTAAATAATGGAATGAAATAAAGAAACGTTAACAAAAAAGATGCTCCAGTGAATGTTCACGTGCTAAGAAGGTCGAAGCTTCGAATGACAACAATAGTAAAATAGTAGGATATATGCAAAAAGAACCCATTCTCTAAAACAAAAAATTTACTATAATATTATTTCCAGAAATTTAATTTCAATAATTCTGTATTTCTTCTCTCTCAATAACTGCAAGAACTTAATAACTTTAATCTTTATTTAGAAACACATGAAAATGTTTCTGAGAATGGTTTCTTTTTTAGAAACATTTGTAAAAGTGTCGATAGTAGTAGAAACACTAGGCCATTCGTATACTGACGAAGAAGAGGAAGACGACGATAGGCAGTAGAATAGTGAAAATGGTCGATGATTTGAGCTGGAAGAAAAATTAGTGGAAATAGAAAATACAAAGACGTACGAAGAAAAACAAAGGATCAATGAATTTTAATACAAAACATGAACTAATTTCTCAATGTATAAAAGATTAATAGAGAGATAATACTGAAAGAAATATTCCCTTCTCATTCACTGAAACAGAACAAAAACAAGTTAATGTAAAGTATTAGACAATTTTCCTCTTTTTTCTTTTTATTTAAAATCTTCTTTCCATCATGCTGGAGATGAATTATTCGATAATTATTACAATCATTTTTGGATAATTTGCAAGAAGAGAAGAAAAAATTTAATTAATAATTCTTCAAGAAATTGAATCTTCTTCATTTTCCTTTATGGTTTTTCATATATTATTTAAAAAATTTTCATTCGAAACTCCACGTTCATTTCCTCGTCTTCAAATTTTACATTAGTTTCAGATTTCGTGGGTAATAAAAACTCTTTTCAACCGAGAGAAAGACCCCCACGGTTTCTTTAATAAAAACGTTAAAATTGCGGTCAGCAAGGTTTCAGAGAAAATAAAAAAGATTTGAATAACATCACATCTCGTGTTCTCATTCTCTTCAGCTCGTGAATGTATCTTTAGAAAACTCGTCCTCGTTTGACTGCCTAACAAAAATCGACCAAACAAATTTCAACAAATTCGTTTAAATACACGGAAAGCCGCTTCTTCTTTCCTCCGCGTTTTAAACAGTTTTAAGCTGTTCCACGAATTCAGAATATCGTTTTTAAACCCAAAGAATTCTGCGGAGAAAGAGAACTGAAATTTAAACAAAAATTTTTGACAAATTTAAATGCAATTTGATCAATGATTAATTAGCAAACGTTCTGAGTTTGAAGAAAATAATAATTAAAAAGAATTAGAGCGAATAATTAGTGAAACGAAGAGTGCAGAGGACGCAAGAATTTTCATTTTCCATAAATAATTTCCAAAATAAAAAGAAAAATTTTCTAATCTTCTATAGAAATTTCTTGCGTCCTCTTATGAAGAGTACAAGAAAATGGTGGTATCGGTTGGAAAAGAGGGGTGGTACAGCTGGATACACAGAAAGAACACAAAAAACGGACAGGTTTATTTATCTTTCCATTCATTGTTTTTTTTTTTTTTTTTTTTTTTAGCTTTCTCTTGACAAATCGGCTATATTTTATATACGTAAATTAGTTCTTTACCCGCTCGCTAGCAATCGTATCTCATCGTGCATCATCGTCATCATTATTTTTCAATTACGTTTTTCTATTCTTTCTTCTCTAGTTTCTCTTTTAATTCCTTCGACACTCAATTATCACTTTCCTTCAATTACAGACGAGAAAAGCGTGAGGAGAACAATACAAAAAATATAAAAAAAAGAAGAAAAGGAAACGAGGGATTCGAGTGAGACTCGCGGATAGAGGGCGAGAACGGTGTTGAGAAAATAAAATTAATAAAAAAAAGAAAAATAAAGGATAGTTAGTTAGATATGGTACGTTCGTGTTACAATCAATTTATCGCGATGAACATTGGATGGACGAGGAGAAAATTATAAAATAATAAAGACACCGAACTGCGTACGAGTCGCGAGAAATTACGATGAAACTCACCCCCTTCCGTTTCGTCGACGCTGAACTCGCCACCCTTTGCATCCCTTGTTTGACACTCTCTTAAAATGATCCTTAAACAATAACGCTGGTGGTTTCGTAAGAAAAATATCTGCTCGAGGCCGCTGAATAAAGGAACTGAATAAGGGTTGCAAAGGGCGTTAAATTGAAAATGTATAAAGTGGATGAAGAAAGACAAATATTTGAATTTCACTTCGAAGACGCATTTTTTAGTCTTTGTTAAATATTTTTAAATTAATATTTAAATGATATTTCACTATCTTTCACTAAAAGTGACTCATTCAAATATTAATAAGAATTTCTGTAATTTATATAATTAAATATATTTTAAGGGAGGTTTCAAGAATCGTGGGCGTCTTCGAAGGGTTGAAGGGTCGACGAAAGGTTTGGGGGTGTATAGGCGGTGATGATAGAGCGTTACTAGCAGTAATAGATAGATAATATAGTAGCAAAGACGATACAGTAAGAGTAATAGTGATAAGAGTAAGAAGTAGTACAAAGGTATACGATACACGTATTACAAGAGTGTATGTGTGTGAGTGAGAGAGAGAGAGAGAGAGAGGAGGACAGAGAATAAGAAAGACAGAGAAAGACAGAGAAGAAGAGAAATTGTAAAATAGATGATAGAAGAAGAAAAAGGTCTGTAGCTTTGATGTGAAAAAGGAAAAAAGAGAAATATTTTAGCGAGCTTAGAAACTAACATTCGTTCAAAACTAAAGAAACACTTTGTGTGTCTGTGTGTTTGTGTATACATGTGTGCAATTTTTTTGTATTTGTTTCTTTTAACCCCTTAAATGATCGACGTATATATACGTCGCGAACGAAGTCAATATACAATGAACACGACGAATATATTCGTATAATGAAAATAGTAAGGATGTACGGGTACCCACTCCCGGAAAATACTGATTTATTATAACGTGTTACATGAAACTTTAGACGAAACACGAGACGAAAATAACTTAAACATTTTAGTATCATTTTGGTTTAAAATGCTATAGAATTTTTATTATTTAGAATGGAATGACAAACAGTGAACCATAACATTTAAGGGGCCAAAAAGTGTTCGTGCTTTTGCGTCGCTATACGATCTTAATTAGAGTTAGAATTAAAGGTAAATAAAAAAAAAAAAAGAAATAGTAGGTAGTAGGTAAATAGTAAAATAATAGAAGGATACGAACTAGGGAATAATCAATGACAATGTTAAAGAGTAATAAATGAATAATTAGCGCTAGGATTAATAATTAAGATAAAAATAAAAAAAAAAAAAAGAAAATAAAGAACGAACGAACGCAGTGATTAAAGGATGATAATTAATAGTAGCGATGATAATCATCGTAGGTAATTGTAAAAAAACATAGTAGGTATTAGCAATTATAATAATAAAAAAGAAGAACAAGTCGAAGTAGTAAGAATGTAGGACGACGTGAACGCAAACAAGTTTTAATATTCTACCGGAAGTCAACGAACCTATTCGATCAAAATAGAGGGTGTTGCGTTAAGGGTTGTTCGTATTAATAAAAATACGTGAAAGACGTTGAGGCAATGAGTACCAGAAGTAGCATTATATTATTTAAACATTATTAACAATTTTATATTTAATCCTCGAATGGTGGGTCCAAAAACGAAAGCTTCTAATATGAAATATCCAAATTTTCAAATATTTAAAATATAATTATAGTGTTAAATGTAGCATAAAATTTAGAAAATAAATTTAATATTGAATTGAAATTCGTCAATTTACCATCCAAGGATTAAAAAACCAAAAAATGTCCACCCCTCTATCTCCAAAATACAATTTCCATTCCATTTGTTATACAAAATATCTGATAATTTCTGGAGGCTCGAGGGACAGAAATACTAAAGAAAAAATGCCACTTCCAGTACTCTGAGTTTTATAATTCAGAAAATACTTTTCGCAGGGGGTTGTGACAGAGGGTAGAGGGTGGTTTATTCAATAATCGAGGTATAAAAATCGTGTCGTGACGAAAGAACGATCGATACGTGCCCATACTGTGGAATTCTTTATCTTTTTTTTGTTTATTTCGAAATTTTGTATGGGTATGTGCGTCTCTGTGTGTGTTTCTGTGTCGTGTGTGTATAAATGCGAACACTTGAAATGTGAGAGCGTTTATCCTCGTGTTAAATGCTTCCTGATGATCGTCGATCGTCGTCGAATTTCTATTTTCTATTTCACCCTGTTGATTGTATATTTAATTAGTATTTTATTTTTTTTGTAAAAGTTTAAGAATATCGAGATATTGTTTGGAGTATTTGCGATGCTTCGAAGTAGAAAATTTCTCGAAAATTTCTAAGTATGAAATAGGAAATGATTGTCGTTGAGCTTTGCAGACCTTTCTGGCTCAAGCACTTAACGTTTAGAGCCTCTTTTTAATTACTTCGAGGGGAAAATAATAATTTTCTTGGGCTATTTGTGAATTTCAAACAGGAATTATTAATGTACTTGAGAATTTTTTTAATTGGAATTTAAAAAAAAATTTTCAAACACTGAGAAACATCAATTTTCAAAAATTAAAAAATTGCAATTCAAAAATATCAATTTTAAAAAATTCAAAAATTGAAAATTTCCAATAAATTAAAATGCATGATACTAAAAGGATACATAAAATTTCATTCTGAAATCACAAATCTGAAATACAATTGAAGATATGAATCTATAGGAACTTATGTGTGAAACTGAGCAAATAATTATTCAAAATGCACTTTTATCCAATACTGACAATTCAAAATAACCATTGTTAATTAAAAATGAACACTGAAATATAAATACTTGTTAATTTTCAATTTCAAACACTCAGAAGAAAATACCATCATTCAAGGAAGTTGTTTAAAAAATTCCTCATCACTTCAATTCCTACCCAAAAATCCTTATCCTTAATTGCGAATAGACATTAATCATTCGTCTAATTCAGAGGTCAGCAAACTTCATTCTTCGATGAAAGAAAGAAAAATATATAATGAAAATGTTTAGATAATAAAATATTCAAATTTGTATCCATAAGAATTTGTGAAAATATTTTTAATTTTATTTACTGACCCACAGAGATTATATGGCTTTTTAGAAAATCGAAGTTTGCCGATCTCTGTTCTAATCATTTAAAAATACAGCGACTGTTACCTGAATCATTTGATCGTTTCTACCTATTATACATGTTAATCACGATTCGACGGCGATCGATTGATCGATCAATTGATTGGAAACGAGTTTCCTCTCCTTGTCTCTGTCTCGTCCCTAATATCGAGGTACGAGGTACTTTGTATGACACACACAACTAATCCCTAAACGAAACTAACTAGAAACAGCTTAAATCGTAAACACGCCCGCTCAGACAGTAGATTCTGTTCTCTTAAACGTGTAGAAAATGAAAAAATTGATTTGTCTTGCCGGAGACGAGCTGATTGTGACATGCAACGCAATTCCTGGCCCACGAAATTGTGATTCCCTTGATCGTTTTCTCTCTTGCAGTCTTTCCAACCAATCGAAATCAATTTTTAATAACAATTATCATTCCTCTTTAATACGTTCAACCCAGGACTCGTGATTTTTTATTGTTAATAAAATTTAACATTTATATTATGAAAATTATCTAAATTACAAATTATCAATTCAAAAATTACCAATTAATAATTTATCAATTCCGAAATTACCAATTGCTAATTTATCAATTTATCAATTACCAATTATGCTAATAACAATCTATTTAAGTTTCTCGAATTTCTATAAAAATTTACACATTTTAAAATTAGAAAAGACACTAATGACCAATGGGTCATCCTGGGTTGAACGTGTTAATGAGGACCGAAGGATGAATGGAAGAGTCGAAGAAACTCGAAGGATTTAAAATAGAAATACAATATTTTTGGAAAAATTGAATTGATTGAGAAAGTGGTGTAATGAGAAAGAAATAAAATGCTCCCATTTTTAATTACAGAAGCGAGTTTGAGAAAGGATGAATGTAGATGTGGATAGTTAAGAAAAGGAAGATCGAGGGTTTTGATGATCGATAAATCGTTCGTTCGATAGCTTTTCAAACGGCTCAGGGATCGAAGATTCTCGATACAGAGAGTCCAGTGATTGTCGTTTACCTATACATTAGTAATTGTTAAAGATCTGGAGGCTTAATTAGAAAGGGGGGCTCTACTACACGAGTCTAACACGCTAAGATTGTGTTTTTGTATGTGTGTGTTTTCTCTCTCTGACTGTACTTTTGTGTGTACGTGGTCCATCGCAAAATTAATGGCAACTGAATTTTGAAAAAAAAAAAAAAATGTAATTTTAATATTTTTAGAAATGATTAATTATAAAATCTGTAATCCTTGGAGCTCAGATATCACATAATTAGTGTGTTCACTGTGGACATAAAATTTATATTCCAAGTTTTTAATTTAAATAATCTAAAATTGACAAATGTCAAAAAATCTTTTTAAGTAATTAAAATTTGAATAAAAATTAGTTCCATTACTTTCACTATAGACCACGTACGTGTGTGTCTCATTAGTTTATAATCATTTCACTAAATCTTGTTATTTTTTTCTGTGTCCTCCACTTAACAGCTATTCCTTAGATAATCTCTTATATTTCGACTTAACACGCTCACTTAAAGTCTCATAAGATCGAACTTCGATCTTTATCTCCAATAATCTTGATATTTTGTCTGGGGTCGTCGGCACTGATTAGGCTCGTTCTCGTTTCCCCTCCTAAAAACCTTCATTTTGTTTTTTGTTTTTGTTTTTTTTCTTTTGGCAATGTATCGACGCTATTGTACCAACTCTACGCCATGGTCTGAACACGTGGTTCCCATGGGAAGCGGGCAAGATAACTCGCGTGATCGCTCAATCTATTGAGGCACACCATTAAAAGAATGGAAAAACAAAATGGAAACGACGAAGGTACATACTTTCCAACCAGACAAACAGTCTTAGACACGATGATCGCTGATATGTCCACTTAAAAAGGAAAAGAAAATTGGTAAACATTCAACAAACCATGGGTGGTTGTTCCATGGTGGTCGCGAGTTAAAGGTATACCTATCCCTTTCCCTATCTCTTTGCCAAATATTTATACAGGATGATAGGAAAATAGACAGTCAAACTTTTGAAAAAAAAAAAGGGTCTACAGTAGATTTTCGTTATAGAATTTGTCAAGCTTCTAAGCTCCCATTTGAAGGAGGAGGGGGAATAAAAATGGATCATTTTTATAGAGTAATTCTAATTGTAAAAATACAGTTATTTAATCTGACTAATTATATTCTTTTTTATTTTTATTATTACTATATAATATAGTAATAATGGTAAATTATTATATTCCAATAAGAATAAGAAATTTTTTCATTTTTAAAAAATTGCCAAATTTTAACCATCTATTTTCCAAATTTACTTCATCCTGTATATCACTCCCATAAATTCTCCATAATATCTAACAGGGAGGAAAAAAGTTTGATCGAACAGCGTCGAAATCGTTCGTTCCCTATTTGTATTTTTAATTAATTAATTAGCTCCCGGGGGCGACGAGAATCGACGATTAAGCGCTGGTCCAGTTTAATCATGGTTTTTGAACGACGCCTAAGGCCCCGATTAGGCAAACACACCGTACACGATGAACGAGATCCCATGATATATATTATATCACTATTCCACCATTCACTCGTGCCCTTTCAAACGCTTTCACACCTCTGTTTTAGCTCATCATCGTGTCCCTAGTACCGAATGTACAATAAACTTGTAATATAGATTAATCTTTTGTGGCTCATCGAGTGAACCGTAACGACGATAATCCTAGACTTATTAATTATTAATAAAATATAGATATTATTGGGATGCAGCCGCTGCTCACTTTTGGACACACCTGTGTTACAATGCGATATATCAAATATATACGAGATATACATAGTGTGTTTACGTGTGTATGTGTGTGTACGAGGTTGTTTGAGTGAATGTTTCTTTAAGTGTGCACATACATGACTCTTGTTTAATTATAATTCCTAATTAACCTCTGTAGGCTAAGCTTCGTCTACTGCGTGGCTCGAACCAGACCCCGAATTTCCTTGGTCCGAACAGGTTTGTTGGTATTTTTTATTTTCTTTCATATCGTGAGTTTCATCGAATTTTGATTTACCTTATGGAGATTAATTTTATATGAAATTTAACGTTTATTCTTGGGGAGTTTGATTGTTGTTGCTTGAGGTTTGATGGTGTTTGTTGACGTTTGATGGTACTTTTTCAAGTTGATCAATTCTTATTACCATTCTCTGTAATTAAATTCATCTTGTAATCCAATAATAATATCGAGAAATATTTAATACTGACATTGAAAGACTGAGAAATTAATCCCAACATTCACCTCAAACCCTCAATTCCAACGTTCAATCGCCTCCAATATGTAAAAAAGAAAAAGAGAAAAATGGAAGGAGAATCCACGGTGTATGAACCGGGATCATTTCAAACAGCTTCAAACTCTCATCAATCGAAATCGATCGATACAATCTCATCATTGGTCACTCGTTCTTTCCTTCTGTCTCTATCACATATAAAAATACGTCGTCTATATGAGGAATTCGCATCGAATATCTGTATACAATATATTAGAACGATACATTTTCTAGAATTTCGCAAGGAGCTTTTTCATTGGTCTGGAGAAATTTCGGAGCCTGAATATCTGCGACACCATGTAGCGAGTGCTGGCTATCCCAACCCTCACATCGGCCCCCCTCAACCCAGCTAGTGATATACTCGATCTAAAACCTCTACAGGGTGTCTCTGGATCTTCACCGATGTAAAACCACTATTTCAAACCACTTCAAACCACTTCAAACGATTTCAAAAAAAGATTCTAAACTGAAAATTAACATACCCTTTATTAGGATATGATTCAAACTTTGTTAGGGTTGAATATTTAAAAGAAAAAAGATTCTGATGAACCCAAAAATGGAGAGGAAATGAGATTGTGGGACTCACTGTGGACACCCTGTAGACGTCTACAACCCATAGACAAGTAACTTACCAAATTGATTGTTTTGTCTCTTAAAGCTTTACTACTGTCCCTCAAATGGAAATTCACAGTTTCCCTTTCTTGGTTTGACGGAGGTCTCTCCCCTCGAAATCAAGCAGGAAAGGAAGTGAAGAAATCATTGTCATCGCTTGTTTAAGTCCAGAAGAATCAACGACAGTTGGTGCAAGCAGATTCATAGCTGAACAAGTTTGAAATCCCTACGATTCCTTCTGTTTTATGTACGTGAATGTGTGAGTGTGTTTGCGAACGGGAATGTGTCCGGAAATTCTTAAAAAGAAAAAAAAAAGTTAAAATCAACGCAGAATCGCGAGGATCAACGATGGAAACAGCTGGTTCATACTGTCCATCGCTCGATCGACGTTTACAGGCTTTTCAGGTACGCTTGCAAGACATTGTGCCGGAAATACTATTGTGCGAGTGGTCCTTTGTCGCTTCCTTTAATCAAGTAATCGACGTGGACAACTGTTTTGTGCGCTCGCGACTCGAACCAGACGCGAGACGATTGAAAAAGCCTGTTTCTGATAATATAATACTTGAAGAACATAGGATTCAAAGTCGAAGACGGAAGTCCGCTGGACGCAGGACTCGAGCTGCGAGGCAACGAAATGGCGAAATTGACGTAGAAGGGACCTTGGAACTCGTTCTGGCAGTTTCCAGATTAGGTTGGGTTTCACCAGATTAGGTTAGGTTTGGAAAAGTTTGAAGAATCATGTTTGCTAACAATTCACCGATCAGTGTAGGAACAATGTATCCCCTCGACATAAGAAATGAATAAAATTTGACTTTAGAACGAGAACACGCCCTCTGGGGTGTCAAAATCGAACTGAACACCGGAACCATCAAGCCTGTTCCGAGGAAGCCACAAGAAACCAAAGAAACCAAAAACCCGTGTGTTCGTGTGTACAGCCAGTGTGTGTTCTCGGCGCGCAACCAACACCAGCGTCGCCTCGTAGAATCTATAAATGCAGTCGTCGGATTAAACAATGTAAATTACATGGGAGATTCGAAAGACAGATCATAGATGCAAAGACTGGCCCCTTCGCTCATGCCGGCTACTCGCTACGTCTCTACTTGATTTTGGTCGACCCTTGCTGTTCCAACGAACCCCACATCAAACATCTCCAAACCGCCATCAATCTAGCAAGATCAACCAGAATCTAGCGTACACTCGAGTGCAACATAGACTTCTTTTCATTAAAGATAAACGTAGGGAGAGGGACCTAACATCAGTTGACGTAGGTGTTGGGAGAGCCTAAGGTGTTTGGATGGAGGTACACTCCTTCCTTTACTGTTTCTTTTAATCAAAAGAAGCCCAGTTTCATACGAGTGTACCTAAAGATCGTTTGGAGTTGATGATCGATGTTCGAACGATAGCAAGTAACATCTCAGTTCGCTTTCTAACTCGACACATCCCATCCCTAGAGTTAACGGCTAGCCTACTTTGGCACAAACAACACTGCCCGGGCCGGCACTCGCTTTTTAATATACATATATATATATATACGTTTTTTTGTAATTTTCTCGTTTTTTCCATCATACCTCATCGTCATATACACGCACACGCTCTGGCAGACAGATCACGCAACAGGCTCTCCCATCTCGCATACTCAGCCAGTCAACACGTCCACTTCATACGCGAAAAACATTGTTCTCCTTGCGTTCTACGTCTTTCTACGATCGATACGTATATTAATAAGATTTAATTGACTCCAACAGAACGTCGGTTAGACAAAAATCGACGGGGTCCCATGTAGGAGGGTCGCGACGACACTGGACACCTCTGTGACGATCACACAGGTTAGGTGGGGTAGAGATTCTGGACCAGCATCGTCGCAACGTTCCCATGGTAGCCCGTACACTTTTTATCACGACTCTACGACACTACTGATAAATCTACGTTTCTCGACACGAGGACACAATCACTGTTCCTATCCACGCCGGAATACTCATCGTCGTTCGCCTTTGTCTCAACAAAATGGGCCCCTCCATTGTGAATACCTCTAGAGAATATATTTTAACGCTCTTGCGGACTATTTAGGCTACTAGGTGTGTATCATTAGTGTATATATTTTTTTTTTTTCTTTTAATATCTTAGAACATTACACACGACACCAGCGCTGCAACGAACGCTCTCTGTAACACAACAGACCCGCACACCGAAGATTCTCTCCTTCTGATCGGTTCGTTCTACGTCGCCTACGGGGCGCGCTTTTACGTTTTTTTTTTTTTTTTAATTATTCTTTTTGTTGCCTGTCGAAAGGAATGCTCGGAGATCAGGAACTAATCGTCAGCCGGACCTGAACGAGCCTGAAGAACTTGTCTCGTCCCAGGCGCTCCAGAATCGCCCCGAATTTAGTCACAGCATCCTGAACGCGTGCGTACAAACTCGCGATACGCCTCGTATTCATCAATCTAATTAGCGATATGTTCAACGGTCCTTCATGCCAAATGATACTTTGGCCATTTTACTTGCTCGTCCTTACTTATACGATTAAGACTCTACACAATCCTAAGCACCTATCAGCTAAGAAACCTGCGTCTGAATGTCTCTGCGTGTATACGTGTTACGTGTACATGTGTGTGTGTGTGATTAGTATAGCGTGTTCGTCACGTAGTGTCCTGTCAGTGTGATTAATACTTATCGTCGAACATACAAATTATAAAAATACCACCTGCAACGACGACTACGACAGTGCGCAGCTCCGCCACGTGGCCAGTCGAGCAATCAACGCGAAGCCAGGCTTGATCAGTCTCGATCCACGGCATTGGGAATACTGAAGGTACGCATATAGAAAAAAGAAAAAAAAAAAAAAAAAAATCAGAGAATCATGCAAGAAGATCGTCTGTGACACGTGGCGGATGATACTTCGAAAATCGTCCACAGCCCTTTCCCATCTGACTCTGAACTATCCTCTCGGGGGCTGTCTCATTTGGCCTGGATAGGTGGCTGGGGTCGTCAGGGAAAGGGCGCGAGTAGCACCTCGCGGAAAGCTGCAAAGGGTCCCGTGACATTAGCCTTAAACGACTAATCTTGGTACCAGCCAGCCTCGAAGACGACAGAACGCGCTGACCGGGTACCAGGTACGCGCGCTACTTTCATCCTCGCTCGTGTTCTCGACACAGTGTTGCGACGTCGACCGTCTTAAGCTAGCGGATACGCACGCGCGTGTGCGAATCCGGGAAAGATCGACCTGATAGGGGGACTGACTGTGCGGTCCCGCGGATATCATTTAAAAATCATTTCATTTAACGCGTCACTCTCACGCGAGAGTGTGTGTGTCTGTATGTCTGTGTGTATATGGTCGCCGGGTGTATGATTACGCGCGGCTCGTCATTCCGCTGCGCCCGGCTAGCGTCACGCTCGTAAAATATATAATATATATTTGTATGTATATATATATATATATATAATATACCTTAACTTTTAAAGATTAACTCTGTACAAGAGCGCCTCTTCGTACCCATTTAACCTAGTCTCTCCCTTCGAAATACTCCTTGCCCCTCTCTATCACCTCTTAACAAAGGGAGACACGTCACACACGCCTGTAAAATAGTCTCTCCTCTCTCTTTCTCTCTGGCTATCCGTTGTGTCTCTGATCGAAAGAAGCCAGCACCAGTGTGTGTGTCTCGAAAGCAGCGGGTGGTGCGACGCCCATACGCTTTCGTCCACCCTCTAGGTGTCCGCTGTTCCTGTCAGCCCTAAGTAAATATTCTTTTTCTCTTTCGTTCGCTCGTGTGTCTGTTATTTGTGACCCTGAATACTGTGTGTATGTGTGTGGAACCTAGACGGTCTGTCGAGTAAGCGAAGAAATAGAAATTGGATACGATGATCTGCACCCAACACAAAGGGAGCAGCACAGAGCACAGCACAGTTCGTGCCGCCCGAGGTTTGAACTCGAGGACAGGAACCTGGATTCATGTATGCTTCTTGATCGTAGGAAATGGTCATTTTCCTTCGTTCTCGAGCCAAGTGGTCGATCCATAGGGTGGACAATCATTGGTACAGACCAACGACTGACGGCACCCATACGTAGGATCATCAGTCGTACACTGAGCCGGGCGACCAAAAGGGGACTAGGGCGTAGGGCTGGTGGTACCACTGCCGGTCGTTTGATTGTGACTCTTGTTAGATGTTGCTCTTGGAGAATGACACTCTCAGATGGTTGGACTCGCTCAGCTGGTAATTGTGCATTTTCTGGAACAGATAAAAGCAGGATTTTGTTAGTTTATGGTGGAAGCTTGAAGCGACCACGTGATCCATGGGTGTTCTTGCCAGTATGATGAGGTGGATGGTGGATTGCTGGGTCAAGGTAGAGTTTACCAAGATCTGGTGCCATGTACAGGGTGTAGAATATGCAGGAGCCCTTCTAAAAGGACCTTTAGATTGAGCATTCTAGACACCCTGTTATACCTGGGCATCCTGTATACCTAGGCTCTCGATGAAGCTAGGGCACCCTATGAACCTAGGGATCCTATGTACCTAGGACCTCCCCTAATAGGTCTAGCCTAAATGGACCATTAGGGCTAACTGTCCAGATGGTCCTACCACATCAGTCGTATGATGGCAGTAAATGCAGATTTGTCAGACGTATTACGTTCTGTGTTATACATAATAAATGTAACAAACAAGCATTGTTATTTTTTTCCATATAATTTAACATTACATTTAGCTGGAAACAAAATCTGAAACGATTGTTAATGGCAGAAAGGAAAATTCCATTAGCCCATAACAAAGGTAAAGCAACAATGGCGTAGCGCAGACACAAGTTTAATCAGTTATTTATAATTTTGCTCAATTGTATCACAGTCAAATAACACGGTGCCAGCTACTAAGCTAATTACAATTCTGATGAAATTTCACATCGTAAATATTGAACACGTTATACATTCGCAAGAGACCACGTCAACAATGGTTGAACATGAAACAAAATGTGAATTTCTGGCTTATTTAAATACACTAATGAATTAGTTAATTCCTTTGAATAACAAGCTATGATAATTTACGTTTAAACGTGTTTTTCAAACCTGTTTCATGAACGGAAGAATGAGATAATTGATGGAAATGTTATAGTAAAGTGAGAGAAGGGTAAATTGTGGTAAAATAAAGAGAAATAAGGTAAATTAAGGAAAATAATGCAGAACAAAGTAAAATTCCCTCGAGTTAAGTAAAAGTACTTACGATCAAAGCAGCGACAGCATCGTCCATACTAGGCATTTGTATGAGGGCCATTTTTCTATCCTTTGGGAAGAACTTGAAAGCCTTCACGGTGAAGCCATTCTTAGTAAACGCATCTCTAATTTCCTCCTCGGTTACAGTAGTTCTGAAAATATCAAACCAGAATTATTGTAATATATGTCCAAATCCAATCATCATTTGAATTAATTATTATTAGTGTACTTACGGAATATTCGACAAGTGCAAGGTAGAACTCGGAGGATATATATTCTGATAATTCTTTGAGCCTGGTTTCTTGAATCGATGAAGAGGGCTATTGGTGTAATCCTTCGTCAAACCAGCATCAGGTTGACCTTCTTTCGGCAACTGGACCGTCTGATGTTTGCTCAGCATCACCTTGATCTGCTTTCCGAATACTCTCAATTTGTCCATGTGTGTCAATGCTGTTCGAACGTAGGAACACAAACATTGTTCACGTGATTCAAATTTCAAGAATAATATTAATCTTCGAACAGAGGGGTCTGGGTCAATCGCGGATCAACCCTATACAACTGTGTACAAGAGTGCTTCGACTAAACTTAGGAACTTGAATCTTTTAATAAAGGACATGTCTAAACTATTTTATGATGAATGTAAAGTTCAATAAAATACTAAGAAAATAACGAAGTTCCAAACCAACGAAAAGACATTTTCGCTAATTACTTACAAGGAGAACTATCCAAGTGTTACGCTCACTTATTAATAAAACTTTGCCAGCTTGTAGAGCTCGTCGAGCTGAACACGCCTATACTCTGTTTTGTGGGCAGACGGCTAATTGTTTAAAAGATATTAACAATTAAAGTTAGTTACTCCTTACATTCTGGAGTATGACAGACTCACACATACAATTCGCAATCTACAGATCAACAGTTCAAATCCTTCGTTCTCAACATTTTTTTCTTTAATGATAATTTGTCTCTTTATGAATAATTCTCACCTAAAAATTATTATTCTAAAAAAAAAAAAAAAAAAAAAAAAAAAAAAAAAAAAAAAAACAGTTGCCCGGGATTTGAACCGATGACCTTTGGATTACGAGTCCATGCGCTTAACCACGGAGCAGATACGTGACTTGCAAGTTCAGGGTTCTCGGTTCAAATCCTTGGTTCCCAAAAAATTTTTTTTTTCTTTTATGATAATTTTTATGTAATAGTTATTCAAAAAGAGACAAATTATCATTAAAGAAAAAAAAATGTCGGGAATCAAGGATTTGAACCGTGGATCTCTAGATTGCGAGTTGTATGTGTGAGTCTGTCATACTTCTCAATGTGAGTAGTAACTAACTTTAATTATTAATATCTTTTAAACAATTAGTCGTCTGCCCACAAAACGGGGTATAGGCGTGTTCAGCTCGACGAGCTCGACGAGCTCTACAAGCTGGCAAAGTTTCATTAATAAGTGAGTGTAACACTTGGGTAGTTCCCCTTGTTAATGATAATTACCTAGGTGTGCTTGATGAGGTTCGGCCATCTGAATCAGTGCCGAGTCCTTCTTGTTGTAGAGAATCTTCACACGCTGTACATCCCCGTAAACGCCTACATGCACAATATGCAACACGTCATTTTAATTAGGTTCCAAAAGTTTCGAAAATTGAAAAAAATCTTTGAAAGGGATTACCGTCGAGATCGAACAGGACAATAATAATAATAATCGATCGAGATCGGGGTACGATCGGGCTAAGATTTGGGACATGCAATTAGGCGATCGGTTCAGCCACAAATAATTAATTAATTAATTAATCTTAACTACACAAGAAAACTTATAATTAATATTCCATGCAAGCAATATATTTCTTAGATTAAGGATAAAAATACTAATACTAATATTAAACTTTATTATATATATGTATCTTTTTTTAAATAAATAAGTGGTTGAATCATATCGCCCTTCAGAAATGGAGTATTACGTAAAATAAGCGAAAGCTTATGTAATATTAAGGTGTCTGGAACTGATATTAATAAAATATTAATGAAACAATTCAGAAGAGATGCTTGGAAATAGAGAACATGAGAATAAAATTAAAAAAAAAAAAATTAATAATAATAATAAAAATAAAAAATTAAAAAACGTGTCTCGCTGACGGCCAATATGATGATTATGATATCGTGGGTGAATCTGTACGAATGATAGTGATTATAAATAAAAATAAAATCGAATAGCTTCGAATCATCACGAGACATAGAAAATAATAATAAAAAAGAAAAGGAGAGTGACAATGAAAAAATAGTATTCGAAGTAGAAAATAGAGAACAGAATAAAAATTTCTTCTTCACTCTCCAGAAAACAAAATGTTCTCGCAAAAATATTGTTTCGTGTACAAGTGTCTGTGTGCCGGATAGAACGCGAGTGTAAATATAATAATTAATAATGTAATATAATTAATAATATAAATGTGGAGACGTACCAAACAGGGTAAAGAGAGCGTCAGGCGTGACCATCTACACAGAGAACAGACAGAGTCCAGTCAGTAGTCAGCGAGTATAATAGGAATCAATGTAAAAATAGTGTTGGCACGCGCACAAGTTTCACGTGTTTAATGGGTTAGGGCCAATCGCGACCCCTCCAGACATTTCAAAACGTATCCCGAATCGTCTCACCGAGTATGTTCCTCTCGAAGTGATTTCAATCATCAATATTTGATCAGAAGTGATACATAAATTCAAGTAAGACACATTTGCTTTCGAACTTAAACACATAAAACTTTATAAATTAATACAAAATCGGTTCGAACACGATTCATTTAAATTTGACGAAGATTTTAAGAATCAAAGTGGTGAGCACGATTCAATGGTGCGATTAAATTAATGCAACAGATTATTTTATAACAAAGTTTGCATTAATTTAAAGTTAATAGAGGATACAAATAACGAAAAGGCTGGAGATGGTTTTTGCTTCGATATTTTTCTTTCAGCCATACGCGATCCACAAAAAGAAAAGACAGATAACAAAGAGAGATACAGAGAGACGTAGAGAAAGCAAAGAGGAACGTAGAAACGGGATCTTCTCGTCAATATGAATCCCTCGTTTTCTTGTTTATCTTCGCGAAGGGGTTAAAAATATGAATTAAAAAAAAAAAAATATGTATATTTATTCAGAAAAATAGATAGATAGGAGAGTAAAACACACGATTGCTAAAGGAAAAATACACTAGGTCGGAAGCTTGTGCGCGCGGCGCAACGATAGTAGTACACATAGTTATAGTATAGTAGTGACAATAGTTGCAGCTGCGAAGTGTGACGTCGACACACAGTTTCATCGTGAGACTTCCTTCGTTTCCGGGATTATTTGAAAATTTCTCAAACCTGCCACCTGAAAAATCATCGAGCTTTCCAGTTTCTATAAATCTTCATTTCTCTCGCTCTTAAATTTTTATGATAAACCGGAAACGAAAGAGGTCTCAACGGAAGTAACGTCGTGGTAAACAACGCTACGAATTACTTAGGACAGAGGATGGTGACGTTTGGAATGATTTCTATGTGTGTTTCGAAAATATGAGGGGCAGAAGGGCAGAGGGTAAGATATAAAGGGATATTGACGTAAAACAGGGCACATACGCATTGAGAACTCGATTCTTCCCCTGTCGAATTATTATTAACTTTAACTAGCACTAAATAAATAGACATTTCGAGTATTAAAATTGTTTAAACATTCGACGAAGGAAACTCGAGTCGAGTGATGGAGAAACTGCTATAGGGTTGCCTACGTAGCACTACATTATAATCATATCGTTGTATTTGCGTGGTTTTTGTTGTTTGAGTACGTACCTAAGCCAGTTTCGTGTACATAGGCAAACACTGAGAGAGATGGTAAATTTTAAACACGACAGGACAATGTTTTTTAATGCAGAAACCATTCATAGAATGTATAATAATGTATTATGGAAAATTAAAGAATGAATTTTTAACCATTTCTCTCAGGGTTAATTGAAAATTATTCTAACAGAAAGCGTACAGTTCGTCGATAATAAACAATATATTCTTTTAACATCGATTTTTCAAATATATATCGAAGGTGTGTACGCTTCAGTTTATTTTTGGAAGACTCGAAGAAAGATTTTATGGAGATTCTATAATATACTAATGAGTCTATTAAATTTATTCGTGTTAGAATAATTATAATAGGAATATCAAAAATCATAAGAGAATTTATTCCAATTTTTTCATGAGTTCTCAGGTGAGCACTCGACCCTGGAAATTTGAGACATTTAACTTAAATTAACCTAAATCCCTTAAATCTTTCTTCGTGCCTGAATTCTTCATTTCCATATGCTTAGTGCCCTCGAATAATTTCGAAAGCGTTCCCTTTTTATTTTCTAACTCACTTACCTCTTCGTTTAGGTTACTGACGAGTAACACCGCCGATGTCTGCGCGTTGGTGGGTACACGTACCCCGAGGCCAGCAGCACCCAAAGGGAAACCACCGAGTCCGGCCAATCCTCCAGCTGGTGGTACCCCGTTGTAAGGGCCCGCCAAAGGTGAAGGTAGACCGTGCATGGCCGCGAAGGGCGTGGGCAGCACACCCGGTGCCCCTGCAATGGACTCTACTTCAGGAAATTTACAAACTGTTGTTAGCACCGTTCATTCAGGCCTCCTTTTGAAATGCACAGGGTGTTCAGAAATCCGTTTATTTTTCTAACTTGAAAAAAATAATTTTAATAATTGAAATTTTATATGAAATTAAAAAAAATAAAATAAATGCTTTTAGTCTGCAGTTATTTCACCCCTATTTCTGAGCACCCTGTATAAATTGCAATGGAAGGGAGAAGAATCGATTTGCTGGAGAAGTTATAAACGAGCATACAGGGTGAATCAGTAACTCTTACCACCTAAATTATTCAAAGAACCATGTTTCACAAAATATTAATAAAGATTCCAAGACGTATCTCTCATGATTAATATTTTTATTAAGTAGAATTCAATTTGGAGAGTTTCAAATTTTGAAAGCCAGTATCGACTTTGGGGAGAGGGACGATCTTGCCCAGGGTGATAAACCAAACCCTGCAGAAAGAAAGCATGTTCATTGGTAGGGATCACACCTGGTATCGGGTTCTCTAGCCGCGATGCAATTAATTAATTTATCCGTTGGAAATAATACCGTCTGACCGCACGCAATTCGATACCGCTCGAAAATCGAGCTGAAAACAAGCGGCAAATTGGAAACGGAGGCGAAACTCGCGAAATAACAATTCATCATGAACGGTGACCGAATGGACAGAGAAACGAGTCGCTACTGCTATTAATATAATTAATTCTAATGGACTGGACAAGCGATTAATTAATTGATCGATTTTATCTGCCACGCGATCGATCGATAACGCGTTCTGTTACAATTGAAAGATCACTTCTGTTCAATTTTTAATTGAAAAAAAAAAAAAAAGAACTTTGTTAAAACTCGCTGGGAGGAAAATACAAAAGGCCGTGCAGCAGCAGTCATTTTGTTAGTGATCCTTCGATCGTGAGTTAAAACAAACAAGAAAGAAAAGAACGGCTCTTAAAGGCAGCCTGTGAAAAAAGAAAAGTGGACACGCAACAGGATACGGTGAACAAACAGTTGGTAGAGGAACGCTTTAGAAAGCCGCGCCCGCGGGCTGACGCGAGCGGAATAATGGAAACACGGAATAAACCGGCCGCGGAAATCCCGGAGAATTCAATTTTCATAATGAAAAAACAGCCACGGGGCCGAGGAAATTTCAATTCGACCGGCCAACTTGCTGGCAAATTTCATTTCACGGTTATATTCACGACCGACACGCGGACTTTCTTCGATGTTCAAACCCCGTGTGTAGTTATTATTATTATTACTTGACTTCTGGAGGGGAAGGGGTTAATTAAATTTCCTCTCGATTATCATTATTACCTTCGACTTCGTTGATCAGCATGGCAAGGATATTGTTTCAAAAAACCCCAATCGCGGATCGGCATAAAATTTGGAAGAATTAGGGAAAGGGTAGGACACCCTTAATATAAAATTTTAGCTACGGGTATTAATGATAAACTAGAAAAAGAAAATCATAAGAAATGCAAAATTAAATTAAAATTGCGGCTTTCTCCATGGTCCGCCGTTTTGGGGATCTCTCCCTGGTCCGCCGTTTTTGGAATTACTCCTTCTCCCCTACAACCCTTTTAAATTTCATGTCGATCAGGGCCGTTTGATGAGAATTATATTGTTCAAAAAGGGTGAAGGATAAAAAGGGTAAATTTTTAAACGAAGCTCACATAATTCTAAAATAACTAATCTTAAAATCATGATTAGTGTCTGATGAAGTAGTAACTCACCGGGTATTCTAGCTCGAGGTTGCGAACCAGCGCCCATCAACAACTGTGGAAGAAGCTCACCCCCAAGAGCAAGGGATGCCGCGTCTAAATTTGCGTCACCGGTCGGCAAAGAGGGGTTGGTGTAGTCTCTCGACTTGTCGTTATTATATTTCACGTTCAAATTTTGCATCTTGCTGTAATCGATGCGTAACGTGCAACACGAATTGTATATATTCTGTCCCTCTAATGACTGTAACAAAGAAAACAAATAAAACATGCAATTAATTATTTGCAATTTAATTTATCCATACCACAAAAATCATAAAATTAAATAAACGAGTAATTTCGTAATTTGTGGATCTCTATTATAAAATTAATTAATTAACATTTATTGCATGATATTTTCATATATTTACTGTTGCGTTGAAATTAATGAATTATTCCGGTGGTTCGAATTACCTCGCCGTGAAACACAGATAAATTAATTACGAAAGATAATTATACATGTACTATTGTAATGTTTATAATTTAATTTATCCATAAGAAAAATTAAAAAATTAAAAAATTCTTCAATTGAGGGGTAGATTGAGTCCAATGTTAACGACCTATGAATTATTACCTAAGATTTATTACCCAGAGTTATCTGTTGCTTTAATCGAATCTTGTTCTCCATTTAATTGTAGAACCCATTTCTACCCTTGTAAATTCCACCAACATCCACCAATTACACTAATTAGATTCACTCTATCTTTCTCACCCCCTTGTACGAATCACCACAAAACACAAGATCCAACCCCAAATGGCAACCAATCTGTCCCCAGAACGATTCGACCTAAACCACATTTTACCCCCTTCGTGTTCGTTCTTCCCCCTCAAATGACATGTTAGATTGAGAATAAATTAACAAACATGTTTTCAATTTTACATTATAGTTCTTAAAATAATTATCTTTTTATTTAAAAAAAGCAATCTACCCTTCTGAAAAAATACAAACCACCCTAATAAATTCTGTAATATAAAATCAACAAGGCTGCTTGTCGAAGCGCGAGAATGGCAGGAAAACGAAATTCATCGTAGGCAATTAGCACAGAATAATTAAATCATAAGCAGTCGGTTCCACAACGAACGCCTGAAGGCGAGGAAACGCAGGGAACCGGAAAGCACGCGTACACAGGGACGATAGCCGGAAGGCTAGTCTCTCACGGTGCAACTGCATTTGATCTCCATTAATAACAACGAGTACACGCCTAATGCAGTCGTAGCCTGGAAAGACGCAGCCTAATTACATATGCACGCTCGATTCTGCATAGGTGTAGACCGAGCACGGACGTGTTTGACCCGTGTACGCACCGCTGACCCCTGTATTGTTACAACATGCACGCGTGTACACGAATTGCTGTATCTCTCACTCCTCTGCCGGTCATATTTACACGGGCTAATGAATTTCATACATAATTACAGGTGGCCCGTGGCACGATCGACGGCCAAAGCTTACCCCTCTCTGGCAATACTACACCATGCCGGGAGAATTTCACTCCTGCTTTCGCCACATGGAAAACTAATGAGGTTAATACAGTTTCTGCACTTTCTTCAGGCTTTGGGGTTAGGTCTTTGGCTTAGGTCCAGGTCTTTGAATTTTGCCGCATCTCTAGTGTGGCAAGATTTACCAAAGTGTACTCTAGTTACATTGCACTTGAGTGTACAGTTGGCTTCAAAAATATAGTGAGGACGTAAAGTGAAGAGGTAGTACTAGGCTCCTTGCTTTTACCAGTGCTCTGTCCTTATTAGTGCCCTGCTGCTACTAGTACCCTACCCCCACCACTGCTCTATCCCTACTATGCAGTCCCTTGCCCCTACCCTGCCCTCAGCAGTGTCCTGTCCCTACTAGTGCCCTGCTGCTACTAGTACCCTACCCCCACCACTGCTCTATCCCTACTATGCAGTCCCTTGCCCCTACCCTGCCCTCAGCAGTGTCCTGTCCCTACTAGTGCCCTGCTGCTACTAGTACCCTACCCCCACCACTGCTCTATCCCTACTATGCAGTCCCTTGCCCCTACCCTGACCTCAGCAGTGTCCTGTCCCTACTAGTGCCCTGCTGCTACTAGTACCCTACCCCCACCACTGCTCTATCCCTACTATGCAGTCCCTTGCCCCTACCCTGCCCTCAGCAGTGCCCTGTCTTCACTAGTGTCCTGCCCATACTAATATTCTGCCCCACCAGTGCCCTACCTCTACTAGTACCCTGTCCCTCCCAGTTCCCAACTACATATCTGAACCCACATGTTAAAAATTCATCACAAAAGAGGGTACTCTTCTTAAAATTCCAGGGCAAAATATGAAATAATACGAAATAGTTTGAAGCATTGCACAAAAATCTCTTCAACGTTCGCTTTGTGGGCACGCGTTTCTGTGACTTTCGTTAAATTGCAAAATCGCGTTCGCCAATCCCACGGCTGAAACGATCGACAAAGGCTTTCCAACCCCGAAAACAATGGTTCGTAGCAAGAAGAAAAAAAAAAAAACAAGAATACACGTGGCATAGGATCGAAGCTGCCAAAGGAGAGGGGCGGGAGCTTTGGTAATCGAGTTTCTTGGCTCGTTTCGAGAGCGAGCGAACTCGATCACAAGCGGAAAATTCGAAATTCGAGAGTTTTATTAGCCGTGATCTTTGTCAACGACTGGAAATCACGTTTCACCACGAGCTCAGTCGAGTTTGCAATTTTCGGTTAACGTGTTAACGGAACGATCGATGCGAATGATTTCTTTTTTTAATCCACTTTTGGGAAAATTTTAGAGATTTCTGAAATTTCATAAAACTGTTTTTAAAAATTAATTTTCAAAATCAAGATGTTTTATCAGAGTAGAGAGTAGATAAAAGTTAATTTAAAAACAGCTGGAAAAATCTCCAGCTTGTATTGGAACGAAAGATAAATCTCATTCATTACAAATTTATTCCTTTATATCACACTGTGCATACTACAGATCGGGGTGTTTTTATTCGAGCCGATAAACGAACATCGTTAAAACTTTTCCGAGAAGCTTGCGAACGAAAAACTGTCGTTAATTACCGGAAATTACGATCTAAAGCTCAGTTAGCAGCGTTCATCGACGAGAATAAACAGCGATTCGAAAGAGATTAAAAGGGAAAATTGTTGGTGTTAGGGTTTTAAGCAACAAATTTTCCGTTTGATGTGGTTTTCCCTTTGCGAAATGATCAACCGGCGTTACAAAAAAATATATTTTCTAAAGTGCACCATTCCTAAGTTCGAGAGCAAGTAAAAACCACCCCCTTGAAAATAACATTTTCCATTTCTAACCCTTTTAAAGACTCTATGTAGAAAACAGCCTTATATAGTCACTCTTGGTAATGAAAGAATTAACAATTTTTTTGTTGTAAAATAACAAAATTAAAATGAAAGAGAGTATGGCAACAGAAGGGGTGGAAAGTAGAGGTCCCAGGGTGCAGCAAGTATTTCTGCTCGTTAATAAAAAAGCGAGCAATTCCGGCGGTGAAATATACCGGGCAGCAATTAAAATTTGCATTATTCGTGCCCTGGCATCTGGACACCGTTTAATGGATGGTACGGTGTGTATTTCTGAAAATATTCCACGAAAAATTTCGATCTGTCCCGCGGGACGTCGGATAAACGGCTGCTGGATGTGCAATCTAGAGAAAGAGGACTCCATATGCGTCGTTGAAATACGAGAAACGAATGATTAAAAAAAGAAAGGAAAAGGGCTCGAGACCGGAAAAATGGAGGGAAAGCCGAAGCGGATACTCACGAGTTTAGCGGTTTGCGCTGACAGCATGTCCGCGTACTGTATTAGTGCCTGGAAAGTACCTGAAACAGAAAGAAAATAATATTAGAATTAAAAATATTCTTTGATAATTACATAGTATCTCTTGACAAAATTTTAGAATTTATTTTGGAATATTTTTCAATTATTTTTGAAACTAATCAATGTAACATTGGACCAAAAATAGTGATTAATTACAATCAATTGAAAATTGAAATTAATTTAGAAATTAATTATGTAACAATTAACCGTATTACCGTGATCTGGGATTAATGGAGAAACTGGTTATATTAGTGATATTTGATGACTAATCATATAACACTGAATCGAAATTAATGCTGAAACTAAGTAGGCGAAATGATTTAACTATTCCGCTGAAATTAGTTATGAAACCATCTCGGCACAGTTGTTTAACGATTACTTAAGCTGAATTTAAATTGCTGTTTAAAAAAGAAGGAAGAGAAAAAAAAAATATCCCAAATCGCTAAAAATAAAAATAAAAAAATAAAAATCTGTCGTCAACAAACGAGATTTATTCTTCGATTTTCGAAATTGGATGCCGCTTTCAGTGATGTTTCGCTGCGGGAAAAATTAACTAAAACTGAAATTAAATGGAAATAAAGGCAACAGCCCTATTTTCATCTTTCTCCCTCTCGATTCGTGGTAATATGTTGTGACACCGGTCAGTTTTTCTCCGCGGATGAATTTTTATTATCGCCCCTCGATTCCCCCGGTGGCGATTAAATAACGATGGAAATTGAATAACGTTGCTCCCGGCGAAAAACTTCACCCCTTCCCTGTTTTCGCATTATATCGCTAATAAAACGACCGACCATGTTTTTGTTTCATGCAGATCAAAGGCAGCATTAACGTAATATATATTCCTGTCAAATTGCATTCACAAGAAATAGTAAAATATTTTTTACAGTTTGTTTTCGCTTTAATCGAATCTTAACTGAAGAAAACATATGACGCAACGGGTGCGTCGTAGCGTTATACCGTATAGAAAGCATTTGACGCACCCGGTGCGTCATCGACTTTAAACGCGTTAAGGTAAATTAATTCATTTAATTTTTCAATTTACAGATTTCCGTTTCCCTATAAACCGGTATCAATTTATATCGCGAAACGTCTACTGCTTCACCGCCCCGGTAGAAAACAAGTTCATAGAGAGAAAAAGAGGGAAAGTTGCTTTCGAGACACCCCTTTCACTGGAGTGCAACACCGAAAGTACCAACGGCGTCGCCGGGCCAGGATAGATACACTTCAAGTGTACAGTGAAGTACTAAAGTGCTCTGGCATGTCTGCCAGTAAGAGTGGCGTCTATACAGGGTGGTCCAGTAGCTATTACCTGTTGTATAGCAGAAAAACAAGGGCCACTCCGTGACGTATGAGATATAGCAATTTCAGCTCTATTTGACTCCTTCCAAGTGAGCGCAGAAAGAGGTATTTTAGAGCAGAACTATAACGTACAGTGAAATATTGGAAATATTTAATTTATGACCACCCTGTGTATGAAGCTGACACGTTCATTAATGGATACCACAGGTTTGAATAAAATTAAGAATTTAAATACTTGTATTTTTAATAATTGTTAGTGTAACATAAGTATTGCCATTTTCATTTAATAAAAAAATATGAATTATATAAAATATTTTACTTACTGTTCTTCGTGAAGGTGACAATTTTTAGGACCTTGCCAAAACGTGTGAATATCTGTAACAGAGAAAAAGATTCTAAGTTAGTATTTTGAATTTCAATAAATTTTATACTTTAATAGACACCTCTTTGGCAAAATGTTGTTAAATAAAAATCAATATCTGACAGAGTTATAATGGATTCAGCAAATGATACGCAAGTGTATAATCTTTTAATTAATTTCCATCCATAACCGAACTAAAAACGACGCAGAGAATACAGTGACTTAATTTAACGAGTTACGCTTTTTCGAGCTTGCGTTCAGTGCATTTAACTCGGGATTTTGCTGAGTAAAGCTTTTAATTACCTTAATGATGGCACAAATCTTCAATGAGTATCTCTAATTGTATAACTGATTTTTCGTTTCAAGAAAAGATCATTAAATTACTAAATACTTCACATAATACCGTTTGCATATCATTTAATAATCACTTGGTCTCATTAATTTAATTAAAGTACATTTTAATATTAATGAATAATTCACAAGACGTTTAATTACAATTTTTTTCTGTAACAATTTAAATCGAGTGTTATTCAAATATACGAGCAATCGATCATTCTTTCTCCACGTGAAATGTCCTGGCACAATGTTCAAAAATGAAGTTAATTAATTAAACACAGCACGCGTGGGTCATGCTGAGCTTTTAGTATTAATGACGATGTGAAGAGCGAGCTCGTTCATTTGGAAAGCTCGTTTATTTAGCATTCGTCGAGATTCTTCGAGTGAGGTGCGAAATATTTCTACAATGACATACTTTATTAAAAATAACCATTTTAATAAATATCATAAGTAGTCATTTGAAAGTTATAAGTATTTTGAGTTATAATATGATCAATACGTTTTTCCCCGGATGATATCATAAGAAATCAAACATGACATCATAAGACGCCAAGATTAACATGTAGAATTATAATAAAATCATATCATATTTCAATTAACATAAAAATATTTAATACTTGTGTTCTACATATCAATTCACTCTTTTCAATCCCAACAAGATTTGTAATTATGAACAGGAACAATGAAACGTTCGATTCAATCGCATTTCCAGTACGTAAGATTTACACACTGGCCTCTCTAATTGAACGGAGATTAATTAAACCCAGTGGAAATATTAATTGCACCCACGCAAAGCGTGCAATATTGGATTTCATCACGGTTTTATCCCCTTAAATAAAGTGCAGAAATGAACTAGTTTTACGATGGTTATAATAAATTATTTTTGAAAAATAAAATTATTTTTTCATCGGGCAGATTTATCGTTACGTCAACGAAAATATAAATTCTTCATTTGATCCGGCAGTGACGTGGCGATATTGAATATTCGATGAAAGCTAAAACGCGTAACACCGCTAGCATTAGCGAACAACCATCCCCCAACCCCCTCTAAATCCAACCCCCATAACAGCCCAGTCACTTGACGGGACGCGATTCCGATTCCATTCACATTTTCAGATATTTTTCGCGTTCCTCCGGTGTCATGCATTTTTATGAGATTTTATTTATTTACCAGCAGAATTACACGAATGCCTCGTTCCAGCTCGCTAATCGTTCGAAAACGATCACTGATTTTTTTTTTTTTTTTTTTATTTCTGCTGGAATAGTGTATCGAATATTTATAAGATCGCAGATTTCAAAATCAAAAACCCATTCGAAGGGCTAATTATTTAAACACTGATTTTAATTTCCCCAAACGAGCTGTACAAACAAAAACAACCCTCCGGGGGTGTGGTTGGAAATTAACCAGAAAATAAACAGGGCTGCGTAATGGTCGCATAAAGCGTCGCTAATAACAATAAAAATCGCTACTTTCCGCGTGCCGATGCTCATTACCGTTAACATTCCCGGTGTTTCCCGGAAATGGCTCGTTTTTAGGCTAATTGCAAGCTGATTCGAAGGGCGAAGAGCGTACTGTTTTTTATCGCTCGGTTTTGCCGATGCTTCCAAAAAGACGACCACCCATTAGTGTTATTGCTCGTTAATTTTCGATCTTCGATAATTAATGACGGAACGGTATGGGTGAAAAATGACCCGATGGTATAAAATGAAGCAGACAGAACAAGGTTCTGAATAAAACACAACCGTGCCTGTATTATTTAAAGTCAAATCTCGGTTAAATCTTGCAATCTGTATGCAATCTCTTCGCATCTTCTGAATTCTGTATAATTCAGAGACAGGCACAAACAAACGCTACAATCACGGTTTCGCTCGGCGAGAATCGAAAATTCCTCTCGCAGTCGGCGCGCATATTTTATTTATGAAAATCCGACAGGCTTCTTCCGCGAATCGAGAACATTCTCGTGCCGCGATTATCGTTTCGAAATTCATTGCGGATCGTCCGGGTAAACAACGATGGAAACTCGTCGAATCACGAATAGCCGGGTTCTCTCGGGTATGGAAAAATTTCAAATCACCAGATCGAGATACACGCGTCGATGTTACATCCTGTCTACCGATATTTGTTTATCTTTTATACGGTTAAGTGATCCTCCAACTATTTTGAAACAGTCAAATGACAATATGAAACCATCAAAGTGGGTCGAGAGAATCTGCATCTTTGAAAATGAATTTATTTAAAAAATTTTTCATTCTAAAAGTATTTAAGAAAATGAAAGTTGAATGAAAATAATATAGAATGAAAAATTAAATTAAAATTGGGCCTCCATCCAAACTAATATAAAATTGATCCACTTGATGCAGGGTCAAAATTGTTAAGAAAATTAGAAGTATCAATTTATATAGATTTTTATTTTAAAGGACCAAGTTCTGTGCTCGTAAGTTGGATTCAATCACCATGATATTCACGTCGATATTCGATCCACTAGTCTGCAGGTAGAGTTTTCAGGAACGTGGCCGCGAAAAATCCCGCGGGAAATCAAGTCGCTCAAAGGTACGTGGCGTTCGAGAAAGTGTGCACGTACCTCGAGAAATGTTCGAACGACAATGGTGTAATTTTAGCCCGACTAACCACGCGATGCGAAAAAAAAAAAGAATCTAGAAACTCTTTCCCAACTATCATTCGACGCAATTTTTGTCGATGTTCTTGCGATTCCAGTTGAAATAATCGAAGGAGGTGATTAAAATTCTGCTATCCATCTAAAGTTTACGTTTTCTAAATAGCTTTTAATTTGATTGTTCTTTACTTTTGAGGTTATGCTGACGCCATATTGATTTCTATCTATAATTTGATTGGTCCACATAGTAGAGCATCAAAATGGTGTCAAATAAACTAACCTATCCTAGCATCACCTATGAGCGCCACCTATGTGCATCTCTTCGCTCATTGGACGAATTATGGGTAGGAACCAATATGGCGTCAAACTAACCTCAAATGCTCATTTTACATACCCATAACTTTTGAACGAATGGATCCCTAGAATTGAAACTTATATTTTTGAACTTTTCTCGTCAAATACTATTAGAATACATAGAAAACAGGTAATAATTTTGTGTGCCCCAAAGTAAAGTTCAGTCTACATTTGCATAAATATTGACAATGTAATTACGAAGTAGCGTCCTTCTGACCCATTCATCAATAGCAGCTGAAACAGGATTATTGTTCCCAAAGGGAAGCATCATTTAATCGATTAGCAACATCAAATCATCCTTCCTCCTCGAATTCGAGTTCAATGCTGTCCGATTTCGAAGCTCGAATTCCACAGTGTCGAGCACTTAACAAACGTTATGTCAAACGTGCTCGGATTGCATCACGAGACCTAATGCTCCTTTCGCGATGCCACAATACGAATCAATCCTCATCGATATTCGACAACAGCGACAGCTCTGCTCTATATTTTGCGTATGTTTCACACTGTGTATACGTGATTTCATCAGTTACCTAGCTATCGGTTCAAAATCTTAGGGCAATTTCCATTTTCGACCCTTGTGTACCAGGAACAGCCATCGAAGCTGACCTGTTTTGAATTTTTATTCTGAAAACGTAAACCTGGAGTGGTATGGTGACATTTTTAGAATAACTCAAAGGAAATATGGAAATGGGTTCAAACTTCAATATTTCAAATTTTCATTTTGGATATTGTAAAAAATGTAAAAAATTATTAATGTAGATATTATGGGTGCTGGTTACATGGAAGATTTAATATTTAATATTTTCATTTTCAGAACGAAAATTAACGAGAAATACGTCAAAACATAAAATATCTTAATGATTATAGAATTTTCATGTCGGATTTATGTAATTATTGTTAACAATAGGATATTTTTTATTCCATCGTTATATCAATGCTTCCCCGACGCTTCAGCGTGAATATTCATTTCAGAGACGGTTTTTAAACAGAAACACGGCCTGAAATTCGATGTATTAATTTCGATGGAAATATTGAATGAAAATAGAAGAGGAAAATCAGATGGAAAATGTTTATTAAATATCCGAATACAGCCGAAAATCTGTGACGTCAAACAATACGGTTTCCAACTGTTATCCATAAAAATAAAAACGTTTATACAAGGGATAATTAACGTGACTAATTAACGAAAAAATAATTTCTTTTCCCCAAAACCACGCAATATCATTTTTCACAGAAATTTAAGAGACAAAATAGAAAAGCCATGTTTCAACCCCATAACGTCTGGTTGCTCGTGTATATCTGAATCATGAATAATGGCCGGATCGTCGACGTCGACACGGTCGAAATTACGTTACTATTATTGCACACGTTATTGCATTAGCAGGGTTACAGAGCGTAGATAACGTTCATCGATGATCGAGAGCTGGAATTAATAACTGTTACATCAATCAATATGTACAATGCGTCGTTGGTCGACGCTGCGTAACGATGACCATGAAAGGGGGTGGTTTGTAATCGCGAAGATCCCCGGAGACCCATAAGTCGACAATGATAATAATGAACGAGACACTAGAGGAGGGAAAAAAGAAGGGAAAAAATAATATCCGGCAGTGTAATTAATATTATTAGTAATAAGTCACTTTTCAGGGTAAGTGAAAGTGTTTAGAACATTAAATGAGGGAAGAAAATGGGAGGCCATTAAAAGTTGCCGGGGATCAATGACCCCTAGCGGAGGGATACATTTCGTTAAGGTTCACGGATCATTAGAAATTTTAAAGCAGGCTACCGACACTGACTAACACCGTCCCTCGTTGGATTACCAAGTTTTCATGGCGTCAATTCGCGAGGCACACCTGAACACCGCTACTTTATTGCACCCCTTTCTTCTCACCCCTTTCGCGAACAGAGGGGGCGTGCAAGTTATACCGAACGCTCTTTTCACGGCGTTTAATCGGTCCACGAAACCGTAAAGTGAAACAACCAGGGAGAATGCTTTGACGATTCGACGAAGAAAATTGTCTGCTTGGATGAAAGAAGATTTCAAAGGAATTTCAAAGATTCTTGAATAACTTATTTTATTATCTTTAAACGATATAAGATGGTTAATTGGAAAACTATGGGAAATTTCTGGTAAATTTTAATACAAACTTTTTGAAAGACAGTTTGCTCAATTTTTTGTTCAATTTTTCAAATGTACATGAGTTTGCTCAAAAGTGAAAGAGAAAAGTAAATAAAAGAATTGTAAAGATTTACATTTCATTTCAATAGAAATCCTTTTAAAAAATGGCGTACTCGTTTGATTCAATATTGAATGTGAATCTTTATTTATTACAGATACATGGTTAATTACAACAGACACCCCTCGATAATTAGTTTACTTTCCCTATTTAATTATGATGATTATGTGATCTTAATTAACAGTTATTTAATGTAAAAAAATTCCATTCAATTTATCCAAATAATTTTCTATTGAGAAACTGCAATTATTTCTGTCTTGTAATCCTTTTTAAAATGTTTCATTTATAAATGCAGAGCTACAGAGGGATTCAAAGGAATCTGCAAATATTGACTTCTCGTCATCGATCTGTTTTGAAATATGAAGGATTCAAGGGGAAACGCGGAAAATTTAATAAGAGGTCTCTGAACCGTAAAGTCTTCTACTTGGACGTCTGAGAAATGCTTGGTCGTACTACTTGCGGTGCTTCCTGCAGATTTCAATTGAAATTAAATGCATATCATTCTTACCTTCCCTATTCCCATCATTTTTCCTTAACGAATTTACATTATTAATAAATATTAAACTGCCTAATTGTTCATTAAGAAAATAAATTATTTTTCTAAAGATTTCAAATGAAATTAAATCCATATCAGTGAAACGAGAAGAAACCAATCGGACAGCAGTCGAATCAACCAGAGTTATTTCCGGTCAGTTGGCATAGTCGACTCGCCGCAATGACGGACAAAGCCAGGCTAATCTTTCCAAGTAATCGCGAATAATGCGTGCGGATGCAAGCGTCGAAATCACTTAGCTACAACGGCAAAACAACGGTCAGCGAGAAGGGTTGACCTGTAATCCGAAAATGTTTTCTAGCCGGTCCATTATCGGCTTAGGATTTCTGTACACGCTTATCGAAAAAGCAGGCATACGCGGATGCAACGAAACCCGCCTAATCTTCGGGGAATTTCAATTCGATTTCCTAGGCAAAGTACGCAGCTCCGATGTTTAATGCGCCTGGATTACACTCGCTTTCGTAGGCTTTCCAAAGGGTTATTGGAGAATGGCTGGGATTTATGAGAATGAAATTTGTGTAAATACTTTGGAATAGAGAAATTAAGGGACGGAGAGGGTTCGGTAGGGTTGATTGAATTTTAGATGAAGATATTTTTAATTGGAATTAAAGGGCAAGTGGATACCTGCTCCACTGGTGATATCTGTTGAAGTAAATGGAATTTGTGAATATTTCCTATATGGGCTGATTTAATATTCTAATGACTGATTTAGAAACACATAAAGTTTCACAACATTTGATAAGATGAAAATACCATTTATGGGATATCAAATTAAAGCATAAACTTTTATGAAAATGGCTATCAAAATATGAATATAAAAAACACCCTTAGAATAGTCCATAGAAATAATCTTTCCTTTTATAAATCAACGAAATTCGTGTAAATTTGCGAGGAACAGGAAAAATAGAAAAATTGTAGCTACGTGTTTCATGTGAAAAAAAGCTAGAAAAAAAAGAAGAAAGCTGCCACCTTTTCATTCGAATCGCATGGAGAACACGTTTCCTTAAAAGCCACCCACTTTTAAGTGCATTCACGACGAGAAAGGGGATGTTTAGCATACGTCACGTATGAAAACACAGTATATTCAGGGAGAAAAAAGAAGTCCGAGTTTCCGGGTTCGTGGCACTTCACGATGGGCCGCATTATCGCTGTTAAAAATGCATGGACCACTCAACTGGAACCGGAAGTACCGCGGTTATCCTGTTATCCAGCTCCAAAGGGAGTGCAACTTAATGAAAGCCATGTTACAAGTCTTTGTTTTCAACTACCCTAAAGCATGTTCCCTTTGATGCGCGTGTTGATTTTTGTCAAATAAAATAATTTAATTTTAAACGAATGAAAGATTAGATTATTGAACGGAAATTCTGATAAATATTTCGAGCGATTGTTTAATATTCCATTAATGGAAACGTGTTCAGGAGCGAGGGGTGAAAAATCTCACGAAAATATGCCGCGACCCTTCCGAATCGTAATCCGCGAAGGATACCGGAGGAAATATCCGATTAATCGAGAATCGAATTCGGGAACAACCCCGAAATCCGATTAATTTCTCATCTCCTACATTATTCCCGGCGATTTTTGCTTTTGCATACAACCCCCGTCAACCCGCCTGATCCTCTTGAAATTTCACCGAAATTTAACGGGTTGAAAATGCATTGCGGATAACAAAAGTTTATTTCAATCGAGCTTGAGACAGAAATATTATTTCAATTCTCGAAACTCCTTTCGAAATGCGTGGAAAATAAAAGATGTGAAAAAGTGAGAAATAAACGAAACGTATTTAAGGGATGAATATCCAATTATTATGCAACAATGGCAAAGGGGTTAATGCGAGGCTATTGAAACAGGCGATCGCACACGTTGTTACGTTTCGCTGCACCCTCATTAGGATTTTGCATTACAAATTCGCAATAAGGAAATGGTCCTTGATCGAATTACATATTTACGGGAGTGCGAGTCGCAATTACAGACGGAATTACGCGTTATTATTGAATTAATTCGGTGGCCGGCACCGTTCCTACCAGAAGCTGATTCCGCGGACGATTAATTACGCTGGATGGAACGGTCGATTAACGAGTCGATTAAAATTACCGGGATTATCGTTGCTTGCTATTATTCTAACGCTGAAAGCAACGTTACGTTTGACCAAACATTATTATCAGCTGCATAAACATTCCCTGATGGTATTTAAAAAAAAAAAGGAAAAAAAAAGAACGTTTATTCTTTACTCACAATCAGTGAAATCGAATCAAACAGGCTGACATGATCGATAAATTTTCACGAGCTGACTAATTATCAAGGTTAATAGGAAATCGTGTAACATGGCTAAGTTGAGGATAAATCGTTCGACAGATAGGAAGCAGAAGTCATAACTCACCTGATAGAGCACGTCCAAGGAAATTGGGTAAACCATCTGTTCGACGATGACTCGTAGAACCGTGTTGGGACCACCCTGGGTCTCTGCTTGCGTCTGTGCCACCTGGTTCTGTCCCGGAAGCGCGACTTGGTTGTTCGAGTTCTGTAACAGTCAGAAAATAGGAAGAAAGTTAGTCGAGTCTGATGAGAAATCTTCTTTCAACGCGTCTCTCTGTGTATCTCCAATCGAAATTGTAAAACTTCTAACAGAACAATTTGATAAAATCAATTTATTTATTTATTTTTTTTCATAAGAAATAAAAATTACAATGTCAAAAGGAGTTATTAAATTTTTTATAACTTCATCTAGAAATTATTACATAGAAGCAACATTGTTGTTTAATATAATTTAAATAATGTAATAAATTTCTTCGGGTTCGTAGCTTCTCCCTTTTGGAGGCAAAATTACCCGTCGTGTTTACGGAAGTCATCAACGGGAAGCAACCCTATCGTTGTCATCAGCTGTCGCTGCAGAGCAAACTGTCAGAGTAAACTTCACAGCGATTACCATAAAATGCTAAAGAAATGCGGCACATTAGATTTTCGATGGAGATTAAAACGCAGCCTGGAAGCTCGACGCCACCGGAAGTCCCTGTGAAAGAGGAACTTGTTACCGAGTTAGCTCGCCGACGAGGCTGCTGAAGAAATCGATCCAGCTCCGCGTGAAACGTTTTACACTGACAATTTCCAGCGACTAATAAGAATTTTTGTTAAAAAGGATCACTAATATTTAAAAATTGTAATTAAATTTGCAATGTAATATGAGATTGTTGTATATCAAATAAAGATTTCTTTCTGTACAGTGTCAAGCATAGTAGGCTTTCCCATGAACAATGGGGATTATCTCCCCTCTCCTTGGGCTCCCGTCCGTCTCCCTAGGCGGTCCCGGTGAAAGTGATGCGGCAGCGATGCAGGCCCATCGGTCTCCCCCACCACTTGCGTATAAACCCGCGCGCGCGAAATTTGAATTGATATTTATTTTATGATTAACTGAATTTCTCAGTTAATAGAACTGAATTTTATAATTATTTTCCTTTCTAAACGATCTTTAACATTAATATTGTCAAAATTAACAATAAGATTCTGAGAATATCTGTTTCCCCTCTAATGACCTTTTCCCTAGGGAAGCCTACCTTACTGGATACTGTACCATCGCTTTCATCATTAATAATTCTTTCCATTGATTTATTCCCGGCATTCTGGGCAAAGTTGACCCTAAAATTCGGGTTCCAGAGAAATTCTCCGGCATTCTTTCTTCTCTTCGATATCACCCTGCCAATTAGCAGCCCATAAACATCTCTTACGTGCTCACCATAAATTTCAGCCCCCATTTTCTATCTCCAAAACACCTTTCTTTTCACGAGGGAAACCTCGAAGTCATACATCTTCCCCGAGGATACGTAAAATCGAAAGAATTCTCTGTGGGAACAGCATATTCTGACAATTTCCTTCCTGAAATCCATAATCTTCTTTTAAATTATAATTTACAGTCAGCCAACGATGAAAGTGTTAAACTCACTTCTAAATAACAATTTTCAAAGTACCATTGAAAGCAACCGTTTTCAAATGGAATAATATAAGAAGGAAAGAAACGTTCCTTCTGTTCAAGATGGTTCAAAGGACGCTCTTCTCGTCACTCGAGAAGATGCAGATGGTTTAATTATACTGAATGTCGATAATAAAGTCGCCAGCTGCGAGCAACCCGTGGTAAGGCTCAATTAAAGTTGTACCTTAATTTCCCGGAGACGAGAAAGAAGGGGCAGATAAGAAGATCGTGGGGAGTGAATGAAACGTGAAACAAGGAAAGAGAGAGATCGGTGGAATAAAAAGGGGGAAAAGCGAATAAATAAACCGAATGGTAGAAAAAGCACAAATTCAGGGAAGAAATTAAGAAATTAAAAGTACGTTTCATTTATTGTGGAATTTTAAATGAAAAATGAAATCAAGATAGAAGCGAGTAAAAAGTAGGAAAACTGATTTTAATAGGAAAGAAATTAAATTGTAGAAAAATTTTGTAGCTGGTTGTATTTGACAACCAACCATTTTGTATAAAGAATATTAATCAAAATTTAAGCTTCAAATTGTTATAACACGAGTGTCAACTGATTATACTTTTATGTCATAAAATTAGGTCAGACTACCAAGTTTCATTATCAGCTCGTGTTAGACTAGTTTTTATTTAAAAAAAAAAAAAAAAAAAGGAAATTGGACAACTCAATTTTGATACACTGAACGTTTTAAAAGCTTCAGGAGAAAACATGAATTTTCGCTGGAAAGTTGCGCGAGATCGGGTTAAAAGTTTCAGAACCGTTCCGTTCTGACTATCGCGTTTCGTCGAATTATAAATTTCTCTAAACTCCGAGAATTTCACTAGGCAGCTCAGCTGCATCCGCGTTCATCTATCATCAGGCGAACAATTTACTAGAGCAATTCCCCCTAAATGCATTCATTGTACGAGCAACAATCTCCTCTTAAACTTGCACGAGTTGTATTTAGAATTTGCTACTGAAAAGTAAGAATCTGACAGAAGAAGAATCATTAAAAATTATTGAAATGCAAAACAATTGTAATGTAAAGATGTGAAAAATAATGGATTCACACGACAATGGGAAGAAATTCCATTTTCAATGAAAACCAAAAATTTTTAGAAAACTAATGAATTTTTGATACAATCACGGCATAGCACACGACACAATGTGGCAGCTGTTGTTTCGCGACAACGACAGTTCCCTGAAACTTGACGGAAGCACTTTCGGCCACGTACGTTCGCATCTATTAGCCGAAAACTTGCAGCAAGTGGAACATGCACGCACGCGTGCACGAACAACGAGTAAACAGTGCCAGATGGAAACTGTAAACCTCGTTCTAAGCAACAAGCTGTATTTCTGTCTGGATAATTAAAAACAACATTTTGAATAAATTACTATAAACAACTGAACAGTGGAAATTACCCAAATCCCAAAACAACATAAACTAAGGGGATGATTTTAATCATATTTTCATTTTGAACAGGAATTTTACCAAAAAATAGTTGTATTACGAATATTATTTGGGTTTATCTTGAAATCTTCAGCTTTTTCCACCCAAAACTCAAGATCCCTCTTCAAAATTCTGTCCGATTCTCGAGATACTTTCTTGAAGAGTTTCAAAGTGGCAAGAAGAGACAGAATGAGAGAGAGAGAGAGAAAAAAAAAAGAAAACTGAACATCAGTCGAGCTTGTGACTCAAAGTAATCCGAGTAAGATTGCTTCACCGAAGGACCGAGTCGAGATCGTTACTTTGACTATGCACTTGCCTGAAGCAGCTTTTAACAGGCAAAATAACTACTCCAAGGGGTAGTTTCTATCCCCTTCTGATGGCTTCAACCCTCCAACTAACCATAAGTGCTCGGACCGGGAACATTACCATAACCTTCCTCTACTTGTTGCCTCCTGCTTCCACACTGGGTCACAAAACCGTCAAACTTACGCGTTGATACGAGCCACGTTTCATATTCACGGGCTCTTATGAACAACGACAGTGGAAATACAAATATATTTCACTGGAAATTTTTTTTTTCGTTTCCTCAAATAATTAAAAAAAAAATTTATTACGGACGGTGAAATGTGTATATATTTTAAAAAGAAATCAAAGCATATATCGGATTTATCATCGTTGAAACTTTCAAGAACAATAACCCTGTCGATATGTTCTGCAGGTCGTTGAAAAGGATTCGACAGGTAAAAGAAATTGAATGGAAAGATCTACGGACAGCAAACACGACACAAAATAAGAAAGAACGTATGAAATACAAAGGTGGTAAAGAATCAATGGGAAACGTAAAGCATAGAGACGTAAGGGATGTGAAAAGGTAGCAATGAAGAGGAATCGAGGATTTAGAAAATATAGGAACACGTGAAAATAGTAGATTCGCGAAGGGGTTGGTTATACCTAGAGGCAGGCAAGATTCACGGTACGTCAAGCGTGAAGAAATATGAGACAGGAATGAAGATCAAATTTGAAAAAATGTTCAGAACCTTGGCGTTAGAACGACTCTATGAACTCGGATAAAAGAATCGGTAGAGAATATTTAATATTTCAGAAAATAATAAAATATTTCATTTTCATGTTATAAGACATCTACCGTAGATTTTCAAAGGAAAGGGTTGAAAATCGAGTACACGTTTCGCCCTCGCCAACGTAGTTATTTATTATCGTCGCTTTTATTATTACTAGCACGTTCTGTTTCGAAAGAACCGCATCACCGCGGAGGAGAGGGGCAGAACGGGCGCTCGGTTTCCGGCAAAATGTATATTTAACCGGAAAGAGAGGAGAGGGTTGCTCTCGGGGTGTTTACCACACAGGCGTCAGAACGTTAAAACCCGTTGTCACGAATGTGGATCATGAGGTCACTCGACGAAGCTGCTTTTTGTTTCCACTACGTGTGTGCAAGATGGCGAATAAAATACCCTGACGTACAGTATCGAGCAGAGGGGGGGAAACGTAGCCAGTTAAATTCGCATAAATTTAATTTAAAAAAGAAACAGAAGGTTCGAGTTGATCACTTTGATTAAATTTAAAGAATTTTTCAAATTATACTCTTTTTTTTAAAAAATTCCTTTTTCAAGGATTTTGGTGTTAAGAACTCTCAGTCAAATCAAGTCACAGTGACGGGAAAAAAGGGAACTAAAGGGTGCTTCAATTCCCCGTTCAATTTTCCCCGGGTTGGTAACCGGCCACTCGCTACTTATTCGTCGAATCCGAAATATTTCAACGATCGTTTGGCGCACGAGGCAACGTGGCAAGAAAGAAAATGAAGAAATTAAGAATTAACGCTGGCAACCAAGAGCGAAAAGGGGCCGTGGAAAATTGCGTCTGCTTCAGCTACCTCGAGGAACATCGTCCTGCGATTTGTTTGCCAAACGAGCAGGCATCCTGTATCTGTTCAAGATGTCTGCGGAGGAATCGAAGAATAATTGCTGCAGGAATTCTTGAGGCCAACGGTGCAACGATACCTTCTTACTTTACTGTTAAAACTGCGAAAATGGTCCATTTTGTAAATTTTTACGAAATTATAAAAATTTCATCAATTTCTTTGAATGTTCGAAAAAATTAAACACTTTC